GAGCCGCCGTCTTCGCAAATCTGTGTTGGATTCGTCCAGGGGAAGAGAGCCGTGCTGAAAATCCGCAGAGCTCGCCTCTGCCGTGTCAAGCAACAGCGATGTTCCTCGCGCGTCGCGACCAAGGTCGCGTCGCCGTGGTGCCGCTACCTCCAAACGGTGGTGTTTCCCTGCATTCGCTGCTTCCGCGGGGCCGGAGGCTTGCTGGAGCTGGGGAACGGACTGCCAAGACGGCGACGACGCCGTCCTCGAGGGGCCTATCTGCGTCATCTGCTACATGGTGTTGTGCGCGTGCAAGGGGAGAGCCAGCGGCGATAATGACCCAGGACGCAGAACAATCTCTTACTCGCACGCGGCAGCAGTTGTTGTCCCTGTCTCCCCCGCCCAACCCGCAGGTGCTTGTCCACCCCCCCCCCCCGTCGGGAATTAAGTCCAATTCTACCGGGGAGCAAATAGAACCAACTTAGGCGAAGGATAGCGACTCGTGGATTGCTTCCTACAACAACAGCGGCTTGGATGTAGAGCTCTCAAGTTGGGGCGGAGTCTGTATGACAGCTGATGCTGCATCCTCTCGAAACGCCGAGCCCGGCGACAAGAGGTACTAAACGACGAACGTGTTCACACATGTGGCTGTCCGCCTTCGAGATCAGTTACCTTACTTGCAATATAAAGCAATCGTCCTAAGTAGTATGGTCTACAAATTTTAATTGGATATTGTACGTGCCTGATTTTGGGTTGGGGTTTGTTACCGCATCCCAAAACAGCTACATGTTGGTATCCCAGTAACACCGCAGTTTCGTCGGGGTTTTGGACGGAGGTGGTGCCGTTGTTTTTAAATGTAAAATACCCAATCGGTCAGGACCGGGTACATGATTGGTTTTTGTGTTTCCTGACCCTGCCTCTGTCCCTACATTTACGTACTGTATCGAGCCCGTGCGCGTCATGTATGCATTCGTTGACACAGGCGACTTGGAGGCGGTTCTCTCGCGCCGCAATAACAGCAATTCTACAGCAGCACTTCTTGCAAGCCCGTTTCCCCCCGTTGTGTGTGTTACTTCCTTAGCATCGACCCCGCTAAATCTCACCGAGCCATGCATCTAGCGGGACGAAAAACGCCAACATGTGTTCTACGACGGTGAACGAGCTCTCCCGGTCTCTCAGCAGGAGGGGCGTGGAGTCGGTTCCAAGACAGCAGGTGCTCGGCTTTCGGATTCGAGGCAAACACAACAATCAATCAATGTGGCCCGCGTGTGTCGCTAGTAGTAGCATCGACCGTGCCAACCGGCTGACCATTGAAATTCAAAATACGTTAGTCTCGGCGCGGCTGAAGACAGGAAATGCTTCTATAAAGGCCATGGTCGATCTGGACCCCGCGAGGGCCGTCTGGGAGAGGCTACAACAGCAGCGGCGCAGACAGCACAAGATGAAAAGGAATTCACGCGTTCCTCCAAGCCCGGGTGTTTGGGTGTAAATTATGCCTGCTTCATACTTCATGGGACGTCTTGGAGGGAGTATACGGATGGTCGCAATTTCACATGCTTGGCAGTGTCTACGACTGCTGTCGTCGCTAGTGTTCTACATTTGTGTAAGCAATACAAGTACAATTGTAGTCTACCAGGTGAATGCATGCATACCTCGGTTGTTCCATGTGTCGGTGCTGCGACACCAGCGAGCAGCGCAAAAAAGTTGACTTTGAACGACATTCGGGAGAGAGCTCTCTGGAAAGAAAAATAGCAGGCAGTAACAGCAGCGGCAACAGCAATGGACAAGCGTGGCGAGATCACCACGGTGAACTCCGTTAGCTGCCTTGGGGAAGCCAGGAGGGGAGCAGGGCTCCCATCCAGCACGCCGCCATCTTCACATACGGCGGTCACGAGTACCCACAGCACAAGTTAGTGTCAAACAACACCACATAGAACAGATATCAGAACAAGTTGTCGCAGCTTCTCGCACTTCAGAGGCACCATGCCACCCCCCCTCCCCCTCGCACGATAACAAGCACAGGTGGGGTAGCTACACCTACACACCCACGTGCGTGTGCTCGTTTGGAAATTTGGAAGGATCACGGTACTTACGGCTGCATGGTTGCAGTGCAACATGATCAGCGGACCTGGCCCAAGCACGTTCTACAGTAATACTGCTGTAGAACAACACCCGGGAGGGATGGGACCCCTCCTATTTCCACAGAGGGAGACACACTGCTGTCAGCCAAAGCAAGAACAGCAGTAGCCCCGAGTGCTCAGCACTCTGCGGTTGTGACGGTCCTTGCAAAGAGCGAAGAGGCCCAGAGCCATGCACAGCAAAGAGCGGCCAGCAAACCGCCCTGGTGATGCTGTGTAGGGGGCGCTAGGCTACGGGTTGTCTATCCCAAGGGTATACCGTGTCAGCTGGTGTATGTGTGTTTAGCTGGTGTGTGTGTGTCTCTCGCTATTTCTCACCTATCTCTCACCTATGAGGACAACAGCAAGGTGGTGCCGCTAGCTCGGAAGCTGGCCGGCGACGCTGTTGATATCACGGAGGCTCTCCTCCAAAGAAGAAGTCCAAGGGCGCCGATCTACGAACAGAAAAAGGGTCCGAGAGTGTGTGGGACAGCACTGGGAGTGAGTGGGGTGCGCGGAGAGACTCGGTGTGCTGTTGCGGCACGATGAAAAAAAAAAAATGATGTACGCTGGTGTTTCGAATGCACAGCATACGGTAGATAACAGTGTCTTCCGTCGCAGTATGTAGTCAGGCCAACGCGGATTATGAGAACACATGTGCCCTGAAGCTGCCAGAAGCGACTCACTGGAGAGACAGGTTGCTATGCACCACGCCTCCACACTCTACATGTTCGTCGGTGTGTTTGTATTTTGCTTCTCCCCATCGATCGGACCGAGTGATAGAGCACCCACACCAACCACGCTGTTTGTTTGGCCGTTTCGGCGCCGTTCCGAAGCCGAAATCAAACCATTAGACTAGTCAGCTTAGATCAGCTTAGACTAAAGCTGACTAGTCTAATGGTTTGATTTCGGCTTCTATAAAAGTTAGTCGGCTTCTTATACAGCAGTACAGTCAGCGCCCGCAATTAAGAAACGCTTATTTCAGGTCCAGCCTCGAATTCTTATTGTGGGCTATAAACTCAGCGTATGTATGTCGTTCAGTTTCTTATATATATATATCATGTTTCTTATTTTTTTGTCGTGCAGCCAAATCCTGCTGAATTTCTTAAATCGGCAATTAATTTCTTATTTCTCTGCTTTCCTCCCCTCCCATACTCAACCCCGATTCTCACTACCGACGGCTGCACGTAAGGCCACTCCCTAGAAGCGAAATGTATTCAACGTCAACGTCTTGCTATCGCTACAAGGTCTTGTACCCCCCTCATGAGTGAGGGCTGAAACTAAACAAACGCATGAACACCGCATGATGCCTCTCCCGCACGCTGACAGACAACAACGAAAATCAGAGCTTTAGCGCCAGCAAGGCAGAACGCAGAGCCCGCAGGGGGTCGGAGGGGGCGCCGCAAAAAAAAACACTCCCCTCTCGGCGTACAACTAATAATTATGCACTATGGGAGGGGGGGGGGGTAGGGGGAGAGGGGGAAAGAGCGAGAGAGCTGCGGGGGTTGTTTCTTATTCGACACACTCCCCCGTAACCCCTCGTTTCTTACGTTGTAGGGCAGCAGTCGCTGCTGTGTTTCTTATTGAGACATTTCTTACTGTGTGACCCAGATTGAGCTATGTTTCTTAAGCCTATTTTCTTATTTTTCGTGAAAAAGTGAGCCTCAATTTCTTAACAAAATATTTCTAAATTGCGGGCGCTAACTGTAGCAGTGCTTATTGCTCGTTCGATCAAAAAAATGCAGATAGATGAGCTTCTTCGCTCTTCTTGTTGGGCATGTGGGATTTCTAAGCTCTCGCTCGATAGATGCCCGCGGATTTATCTATTGTGTACGGCCACACCTCAAGAAGACCCACCAGACACGCCCCCTTCTGCCCAATCTCAAGCCCAGAAAAAACAGCTAGCGGGACTCTCGCCCGCGGACTAAAAGTGCTCTGCTTCCTAAATGAAACTACTGAAGTAGTACTTCTTTCTAGTAGACTTGCGGACCACCGAATTTTTTTTCTCTTCCAAAAAACGAGCCGACGGGGGGATGTCGAGAGAGTCAGAGGGGCGTTCCCAGTCAGGCCTACAGAGCCTCGCAATTGATTGGCTTTAACTTGTCTCGAGCATGCATGTCGTTCATTTCAGTAACAAACAAGAACAACAACATTGTTGTGATACTATATAGATCTCGTATCTCGGCTGTGCCTGAGCCAAACGTCGGAGAAACAAGACTACATATATATTATATGTAGACAATACACCATCATCATCCTCTCTGCAGCATGTAACAACCGTGAGAACTGCAACGACCCGCAAGGAGAACTATTATCATTGTAGCTGCAGCAGCGCGCCAGGTCAGATACAGACTTAAAATTACGAAGAAAATAGAACTACGAACAAAAACAACGCGAACTTTGCGAACTACTGGTCCAAGGTCTATTATCAAAAGAAGAGCAGAATCCACGTACTAAGTGCACACGGACGCCCAGACTCCCCCCACGGAAACTGCTACCCTTGGGAGACGCGCATTGTTACGCGAGCGAGGTCTCAAGCCCCCAGAGATGATGCAGCTCCTAATTTTGGCAAGCGGAGGTGCTCCGAATTTTGGGATGACGGATGCATGACTTCCTCCAATCGTTACTTGGACGAGTTATCCTGAAGATCATCTGCAGTCAGTCCTAACCCGTAACACGTCTGTACACATTTTGACTGTGGTAAGTGATGTCCCTACTGGCTCAGTAGCCCCACCCCACGCAATAACTCATGGCCTCGCGCATCTGCTTCTCTTCCTCATCGTCTGATGAATTTTCATTCTCAGTGCATGAGTCGTCGTAGTAGCGCAGCCCGTCCTCTTGTTTTATGGGGGAGTAGGCGTCGTGGATGCGGCAATCCTTCGGGAGCCAGTCTAACTGCCGGAACTAATCGATCCGCCTCTTCTCACGCCTTCCTGCACAAAGGGCGCAGGCGTCGTGATGCATCTTCCGCATCCTCCGGAAATGTTGACGCCGTTGACGGCGTCGACCATAACCGCGCCGTGAATTGTTGCATGCTAGCTTCTCGGTCAACTTCGCGACGGGTGCGGTAAAGTCCCGCAAGCTCGCCGGCCACACCACGCTTCTCAGATTGGCACTACCTCCGCCGGTGAAGCTGGGTGCCAACATGCTATCTCCGCCGTTGAAGCTGGATCCAAACACCATCTCTCTCAAGGTTGCAGGCCACTCGATGTTGTCGATGCTCCGGTTGAACATACTTCCAAACTTGAGCACTTCCAAGGTCCGTGGCAGGGGGGTGACGTCGATTGGCTGGTCGAAATAGCCGTCTCCAAACTCACCAGTGAGAAAGTGTAACTCTCGTAGCGCGTTCGGCCACACAACACCATCCAGGGGTCTGCGTGAGCCAATCAGAGAGGAGGAGGAGGAGGAGGGGGTGAAATACAAAGGCGGGAGAAACGGGAGCATCAAAGCGAGCGACAAAGCATTTTGTTTCGTACCGTGGCATGCAAGACTTTCGAAACCTCGCGTGGAAAACGTTGCACCGAGTGGATGGCCAGACCAATTTCCACAAAAGGTGCGTGTTCTTTTGCGGACGCTGGACAGTCTCCTACGCGGAGAGGAGCGAAAGGTGGGGGCGGCAGGGCGGTAGCATGCGAAGGGCGAACTGATGATGGCTGGGAAGGCGGACCCACGTTGTACTGCTTATCGCTACTGCGTGTAAGCGTGGATCTGCCACTGGCATGGCACCGACCTACTTGTTTCGAGTTTTTTTGTGCCGCCATACTACATAAAAAGAAAATTTCGAAGACTCGTTCGCAAATCCAACCATTGCTCCTCTCGCCAATGTCATGACATGCCATGCACGATGTACTGACTTGCACCATTACGAATGCACTGCCACCAATGACAACAGCTAGGTCTTCTACTCACTGGTCGAACTCTCGACTGAACTTCAAAACTCGAAGGTCAGGCGGCCACTGGACTCCCGCGATAGGCTGGTTGAAGCACCCTCCGAGAGAGAGGTGTTGGAGTGATGCCGGCCACTGGACTCCGTCGATTGGCTGGTAAAAGGACTCGCTTGAAAAAACGATCTGAAGTAGTTGGGAGGGCCATGCCACTCCCGCAATGGGCTGGTTGAATGCACCCCCCAGAACGATATGTTGTAAACCGTCGGGGAAAACTATGTCCTGCAGCGGCGTGTTGAAATTACGTTGGAGGAGCTCCAGCCGGCGAAGGCTCTCCGGCCAGACCACACCCTTCACCGAAGGACTTTTTTTCTGCCTGGATTTCTTGGTCGGCTCCGTCGTCCCTGAGCATAGCTTGATCTCCGCCACAGTTGGCGGCCACTTCGCGCCGACAAGGTTTACCTGGAACGGTTCGAAGCGCAACTTCTCGACGCCGGTCGGCCAGGTGAAACCTTCCTTGTTGATGCACGCGCCCTTTACTATCACCATCCGCTTGATCAGCAGCCGCCGCGCTAGCCTGTTTTCGGGGGGCGCCTGCATGTTCGCCCGCCCGAAAGGTAATCCCGGCGGCATTTCCCAAGCCCGCACCCTCACTGCCCACGGCCTTCCCTCCCGACACAACCTGCTGAGCTCAAGGCAGGTCCCTTCGAGCCATCTCACTTTGGTCAAGCCGCTCACCGCCACCAACCCAAGGGCCTTCACGCACAGCCCGGGCGACGGCGGGGATCTTACCGGAGACTTCCGTTCATCCGACAGCTGCGACCTCTGCGGGCGTTTGGTGCCAGTAGAAAGCGCCATTTTCTTGACGTCTTGTGGTTCTTGGCACTCTGTTTCCTTGTCGAGTGTGCAGCCATGTACCGCAGGGGCGGGCTTTTGTTCGCGGTTCTGTCCCTTCTTGGCTGGCGTACAGCTTTCGAGCGGACGTTGAGGAAAAGGGGGGTGGGGGGGGTGGGGGCACTCTTCAACATGTACGTGCGGTAAGCGCCAGCAGTGTTCTTGATGGCCATTTCTCTCAAGCGGCAATTTGTGTCTGATCCAGCTCTGAATAATCGAACTCCAAACAATTCCGGCATCGACACGGAACACGGATATTGATCGTCTTACCATTTCGATCAGCATACCTAGTCGCTTTCCTTAAAAGGCAAGGCAACGACATGGTTTCCTTTAGGCGGTTTCTTTTAAGAACCGAAATTCCATTTCCAAAATGTGTAATTTCCCATTCGGAAAAAGGAACGTCGTGTCTGCCAAGACGCTTCTGATAGTGCAGTCGACTATTGGTTGCACTGCTGGCCATGGAATGCGGCCGTTTGAATGTTTCCACTTGCTACCCAGTACCACCTCACCGGATTGGTTTTTCGGGGATCTCTGTGCACTGGGTGACACAACAGCAACAGCAAAGACATCCGCCCGTAGTTGTGCGTATAGTACCTCATGCGGGGTAGTTGTGACAGACCGTGAGGCGCTGGGAGGTTGATAATTGCGAAAGGGTGGACTGCTGTTCGAAAAAGGCCCCCCGCTCGAGCACACAGCTATGACAGTTTTTTCCGCCATCACAGGTTTGGTTTCGTAGCGACCCCTCTTCACTGACTGAACCAACAAATACCACAAAGCCACCCACCCGCCCGTATCTGTGTGTGTGGTGCCTCTTGTGCTGTGGTTTTCAGAGACCGTGACGCGCTGGGAGGCTAAGCAACGAAGTTGGCGAGGGTCAAATGCTGTTCGCAAAATGACTGCCGCTCACTGCTGTACAGGTTTGTTGCCGTGTCACCGGTGACGTTGTAGCTATCCCTCCCCACTGATCCGACAGAGAGCAGTTGACGGGGCTCACATCCTCGCAAGAGTGTTAGCAGGAGAGGTGATCTAGCGAGCGAGAAAATGGAGATTTTGTTCGTCGATGTGTGTGTTGGGATGATGCTGCGTCTCTTTGCGGGTTTGGTCTTGCGGGTCTGAACAAGCGGTGTGTGCGTCAGCTGGCCAACGTTGTTGCTTTGAACGCACCTGGCCACACGGCAACCACACATGCATATCAACGGCTGGGATGGCAGCACAATGCTCCGAGGAAAGCCCTTTACATGAGGTCACAACGAGCAGTATTTGCTGCGCAACCGATGTTTTTGTCCGTGTGGTTTGCATTTCCCAACGCCAACAAAAAACGCGCCATCCGATCAAAGATTGCCATCATTTCCGAATGTATGACCGCTTGGAAACGTGAAACAAAAAATATTCAGCTGTAAATGTGCAATTTCTGATCCCATAAAGCCGTGTATTAGCGAAGCGTCGAAAATCAACATCGAAATGGGCCGAAAATCAAAATCAAAGTGCATTATCGTGGAAAACTGAAAAAAGGGGCTTCGACCATGTTAACGTGGACAGGACACAGACGGGGCGAAAAATCAAAAAAGACCTGGCGCCAGGGGAAGAGCCAGCAGCGAAGCGGTGATTATTCTAGGTTAGGTTTTGCAGTCTTCTGTTCACGTGTTAGCCGATGTCTCGCCGAATATAGAACGAGTTGCCTCAAGAACGGTATCCGGAAGGAGCTGGTACCATGGGCAATTGGGCAATGCCAAGGTTTGGCGCCGTGAGGTGCTAGATGCGCCGGAGAAAACGTGTTGAAGCAAAAATGCCAACAGTCGCAAGCGGTCACTTCGAGTTCGGTGTTTTTGGCCGCCACGGGTTTGGTTATCCACCGATAACTTTTCGAAGGAGGAAGCAACAGCAACAACAACGCCACTCGGCGGGAGGTACCTCTCTGCTCCATCTTTCAAGCCCAAGGTCTGCTACCGTGGGGGATCGTGCGTGTCGGGAAAAAAGTTTTGGTTGTCCCTAAAATATCCACTTCAGAGAGCGGTTGGTTCAAGTTCGTGGGGATTGTGTGCTCATGGTTTGGTTTTCCAGCCATACCTTTTCGAAGGAGAAGGGGGAGGCAACAGCAACAGCAATGCCACCCCGAGGGAGCTAGCTCTACCCAGCATCTTTCTGGTATGCATACCAGGTTAGATGCCTTGGGGTATCGGGAGTGTGGAGAAAAAAGTTTGCAACTACCCTCTCCGGCACGGCAGCCGGAAAAAGCCGCGCAGCCCTGTTTTAATCGTCAGTCCGTTCACCGCTTGTCACGATCAGCATTTTCTCCTCCAGCTCCCAACGAGCCGGCCCGGTTTGGGGCTTCCCGGCGAGCAGAGTCTTTTGGCTACAAATAATGGCCATGGTCTCGGTGGTAGGGTACCTATAACTCTATGAGCAGTGTACAGCAGGTCGCGTCGTGCGCTTGCTTTGCAGCGGCCTTGCGGCAGGTGCTCCAAGCCTTCGAAGTATTGAACCCCTTGCCTCTTTGATTTTGATTTTGAAAAAAAAAGTCCCCAGAGAGAGGAATGTCCATAAAATCAAAGGGCGTCGTCAGGAGGTACGAGTGTTTCGACCAATCAGAGCTCGATATTTATTTATATTTTTAATGTTTTTGATTTATTGCGCTTCGTTAATACACGGCCTAAGAAACATTCTTTTGTCCGGAATCAGAAAATAGTATTATTTTGATTGACAAAAAACGACTTGTAAGAAGCAGCCCCAGAGGGACTTTACGCGCACGAGGGGGGTCGGGGCATTTCTCCAGGAAACCGCATGGATTCTTGCATTCATTGCATGTCATTCTGTGCGGTCGTGTTTGTGTGAGTACAACGTGCGTGTTTACAACGTTTACTGGAATTCGTAGCATCGACCGCGCTAACCGCTTGAGCTATGATATTACGTCAGTCTTGGTCGTACAGCGAAAGATCACGCAACAAAACGTGATCTAGTCTACGAGGCACTTCCCAGGGGACGGCCGTGCAGCGAAGAATGGATGACAGACAGCGCTACGCAAGTTTCATTCCTCCTGCGGTATCTACCCTCTCAGTGCTAAATAGCATCATTTCTTCCTCTGCAAACTGAGTACTACTTAGCGTACACCTTTGTACAGCAGTAGTAAGCAACAGTCAGCGGTAACACGCCATGTCAACCAGACAGCATCAGTAGCTGTGACAGCAAAGCCGCGTTGTGTGCTAGCAAAACACAACTGAAAGGCATCCATTCTTATTGTTCTACCAGCACACCCAATATATGATGTAAGTACAGGAGCAATAGTCTGTCAACACTGGTACGTTCAAACTCATAGGATCGAGCCGCACGTGACCGTGGAGACCCTGATTTGGTTTTGCCCTGAAGAAGACAAGCTCTGCATGTACATCAATCCCACAGCTTACCTGGCGCTGGCGCCACCACCCCCAGGTTTTAGTCCCAACATATGCCTTTGGGTGATGGTTGGTAAACTCCGGAAGCCATTAAGGCTCCTGGTGAATACGAGTATGGTGGCCTGGTCTGGACATCCTTGATACGGCTTGCGGTAGCCGTCTTGGTCTCTGTGTCGTTGTTGCTGGTCGTTGGCTGCTGCTGCTGCTGCTGCTGCTGCTGCTGCTGCTGCTGCTGCTGCTGCTTCTGCTGCTGCTTCTTCTGCTGCTTCTGCTGCTGCGGCTGAGTCGACGGCGCCGGCTGTGGGAGGGCGACTGCTGCTGGAGGAGGGGCTGCTTGTGGGTGGGGAACCTGAACATACATGCTGGTGCCGATTCGAATCTCCACGATGATGCGTGCTACGGTTCACGGTACTCGTCTTGGGCTTACTATCGTTGTTGCTGTTGTTGTTCGGCTGTTGCTGTTGCTGTTGCTGCTGGTGCTGCTGAGTCGGCGGCGCCGGCGCCGGCTGGGGTAGTGCCATAGCTGCTGGAGGAGCGGCTGGTTGTGGGCAGGGAACGTGAGCATGCTGGTGCTGATTCAAACCCGCAGGCTGATGCTTGATAATGCTTGCGGTAGTCGTCTCCGTCATACGGTCATCGTTGTTGCTGTTCGGCTGCTGCTGCTGCTGCTGCTTTTGCTGAGTCGACGGCACCGGCGCCGGCTGTGGGAAGGCGACTGCTGTTGCTGGAGCGGCTGCTTGTGGGCGGGAAACCTGAGCATGCTGGTGCTGATTCCAACCTCTAAGGTGGTGGTGGTACAGATGACCTTATGGCCAGCCAACACATGAAGTGTGGGTAGGCTCCCGGAGGAACAAAGTGCTGATTCAAACCCCCACGCTGATTCTTGCTATGGCTTGTGGTAGCTGGCTTGGTCGTTTTGTCGTTGTTGGTGGTGTTGTTCGGCTGCTGTTGCTGCTGCTGCTGCTGCTGCTGCTGCTGAGTCGGCGGTGCCGGTGCCGGCCGCGGAAGAGCGAGAATTGCTGGAGGCGCGGCTGCTTGTGGGCGGGGAACCTGAGCATGTTGGTCCTGATTCAAATCTCCATGATGATGCATGCTACGGTTCGCGGTACTTGTCTTGGACTCATTACTGTCGTTGTTGCTGTTGTTGTTCCGCTGTTGCTGCTGCGGCTGAGTCGGCGGCGCCGGCGCCGGCCGGGGTAGCGCCACGGCTGCTGGAGGCACGGCTGGTTGTGGGCAGGGAACGTGAGCATGGTGCTGCTGCTGATTCAAACCTCGCGGATACTGATGGTATGGATAACCTTGTGGCCAACCCATTACGTGCGGGTAAGCTCCGGGAGGAACATAGTAAGGGGGAAACATCATCGCTGGGTGGAGAAGGTGTGGTGAGAGCGGAGGAGGCCAAACAGGGACACCCATGGCAACATTGGGAGGCGCTGCCACTCGGCCATGTTGCTGCTGCTGCTGTTCATGTGGTTGTTGCGGTGGTTGCTGTTGTTGCTGCGGTTGCTGCGGTTGCTGTTGCTGCTGCTGCTGTTGCTGCTGCTGCTGTTGGCTCGAACTCATACCCGTGCGTGCCTCTGATGTTGGTTGACCCTGCTGCACCGGCTCTGTGCTCTGGTCTGCTGCACAGACCAGTAGCTAGCACACCCCCAAAAACCTGCGTCGCATCTTCTGCTCCCGCAAAAAAAAAAAGAGTGTTTTCCCGCCGTATTTGGACTTTGAATCCGTTAGGAAAAATAAATACGTACACACAGCAGCGCTGATCCAGGATATTCATGCAAGGATGTGTTTCGTGTATCGTAACAATTGCCCTTCATAGATACTTGCTGACATGCCGAGCAACGTTTTCGAAACTGCCGAAGTCGTTCCCTGCGCTGGTCGGGATCAATCGCGATTCACCGCACACGTCTGGGTGAAAAGGAAAAGGGCACGTTTATCTACTAGGTTTGGGCTGACCCTCTTCCACCCTACCCCGTTAGAAGTGCTTGCAAAGTATGCACACGTAGTCTCGGCGATATGGGTCGACTCACACGCATGTCCCATCTCCAAAACAAACCTACTTCATTCATTGAAGCTCTCGAAGACAGATAGATTTATGTTGATTATTTTCCTTCGCAGAAACAAAGAAAGGAACAGGACGGGGAGCAGCATGCCCTTCGGCGAGTAAAGTTCTACAGCAGCATCATACATAGTCTTCTAGGTGTTCTTAGGGTGGTGGTGCTGTCTGGAAGATTGTTATCATCTCGTTCGTCGAAATCAACTCTCGTTCATGGCGGCATCATCGTCTAGACAGTGATTCCTCAGGAAAGAGGCCGGCAGAGAGTTGGATTGGAACACGCCGGCCTCCTCGGCCCAGAAGCAAGACTGAACCGCCGTCAAAAGGAGCCGCGGTCAGCAACATGTTTGTTGTGCGACCTGTTACACAAACAACCTACCATAAGGTTGCGCGAGTCATGTGTTGTAGTGGATTTGTCACGCGACTCTTGATCTCATCAAGAGAAAATGAAGCAACGATTTTGTTTGGCGGTAAATATTGCCGTGTTTCTTTCGGTCACGTGAAAAAAGTAAAGTAAAATGATTTACAGATCTCTCTCCCATGGCGCAGTGAGGGGAGCGGATATCCCTTACTATTTTCGTGGACTAGTCAAGCTTCACACAACAATCCCACACCACAAAAACAGCAAGATTCACCGCTGTGAGGATCCATCCAATCGCGAATGACAGAAACGCCCACATCAAAAACAGCAAGGAAACGATGCGAGAGAGAAGATACCCCACCCGCTGCCCCCCTGCCACGCCCATGACTCTACAACTCGATAGAATCACACTTCAAATACACTACCGTAGCAAACGTTGGCATGAGCCGTCACGCGGGTTGAGTATTCCCCCGCCAGAAAAAACCTCCAGTTACAGCAGTAGACGTTGCAAATAAAACATCACTTTCACCCACAAAAAAACGACTCGTGCGCACACGTGTGCACACAAAACACTGGTACGGCTGCCATTGCGACCGAATAACGGGATGCAAGCACAATCCCGGTTTCTGCAGAACTGCAGGGCGGGATATATCCCGCGAGCAAAAAGACAATCACGCTGAGAGCAATCTCCCCCCCTAGCCTTGAACCTTTTTATTATTTTCCATGCCATTTTTTCCGGACATCGGTCCTTTCACCTTTCGGTACAATTCCGGACACATCAGCCAGGACGATCAACAACAAAAATCACCCTCAACGCTGGAAGAGGCGGCCGACCACGGCCGATGAAAGGGGGCACGTGGAACGCTGCAGTAGGGGGGGAGGGGGGGGGGGCGCCTGCTGGATTGGTTCCCGCCGGGAAAGCCTCCTCCAACAACTCACTCAGAGCTCGTCGAGGTCTTGAAACTGCTCATCGCCCTCACCCTCCTCCTCTTCCTCCTGCGTTTCGTCATCGTTGTTAAACGGCACACGGAGAAACACAACAAAAGTTAGACAGCACGCACGGAACACACGTGTTGCAGTTGTGGCATATCGATGCTGCCGTGTCCATGCCGCCTGGGCCTTTGGCCACCGTTGCCGCCATGTTGGATGACGGCGGGGGAATCAAATGGGCCAACGTTGCTAAAGAAACAAGCTCACAGATTTCCTCCGGCAGCATACAAAGGGTGAGTCTATCGACCCAACCGGCGCGACAAACCCGGAAGCAATTAGGCCGACAAGTACAACTACAACTAGCGTACGGTATCGCGTCTAAAATCAACCGAGCATCAACCAACATGAAACCACGAAATGGAAAGCACAACGATCGGGGGTGCACCAACATGGTGACAAGACACGCGCAGTGCCTTTCCATGTTTTAGATGAACGAACACAGTGAGAGGTGAGAGAACGTGCTGCGCGTTTGCGGAGGAACGGAATATTTTCACTAAAATTGAAGCAAAATTACTACTATAGGCACGAACAAGCGATGGACATAAAATTGGCAAGACTCGTGTGTTAGCAAAAGTCACTGCGCTATATTGGGGAGTGTGTGTGTGGTGGCCATTCATGCATCTCCGGCTTCTCGCTCGGTTGGAGGTGTGTCTTCGGATTGCTCTGTGGGTGCCTGAGGCAGTTAGCCCCCGATGTCTTTGCCATGAGCTGACTGGTCTGACTAATCGTTCTTGCCTATTGCTGAGTCACTGCGAGCCCAAAAGTTCACACGCGGGTTCGCACGACAATACAGGAACAATTTCTGCGAGGAAGGCATCTGCTTTGAGGTCAAGACGAGTGCTTATGTCAAGACGACGAAGAAAACAACCACCAGACAGGTGCAGCATGCCACCGATGTTTTCGACCACGATTCGTCCACGCATCCGACATACCTCATCTGGAATCTCCATCTCCTCGAGGAGGTCCATGCTGCTAAGGTTCAGGGTCTTGGCCATGGCACGCTGTACCCGGTTGGCGAATGCCTCGGTATCTTCCACCTGGAAGGACAACATCCACATGAGCCTCTCATCAGCTGCCGTGCCACCATCAAGACCAACAACAGCACCAGTATCGCGAGCTGTAGACGGAGATAGCATACACGTCTACGTAGAGGTCGATTAGCCGAAGGCCGACTTACACGAGACCCATGTTGGCAACACGTCACTTGATGGGTGATACGCACCGATCGCACCGGTGGTCTGCATGCAGTGGATAATCTCGTCAACCTACTTCAACTCGTGTGGGTTTAAATTCTTATCTCCGGGGTGCCCAATTTGCGAGTCTGAGGGTGGGCAGCGATCAACTCGTGTATATACACAATACAGATGCACGGAAATCAACGCTGAACCCTTCACGCGCAACGCAAGTACCCCGGGGAACGTGGGACAACAAAAAAACGGCCTTGTCGTGCGCCTTCGTCCTGTGTGTTCCCTTTTGATACGTCAAATACACACCAAAAGGTGAGTGAATATACTGGCGCCAAAAAAGATGGCACAAAAAACAGCAAAACACACACACACACGCACACACACACACGCACACACGCACACACACACACACACACACGGGAAGCCGCCTTGCCTGGAAACCCGAAGCAGTGAGAGCAGTCTCGTAAAGAAGCCAGGACAAGTCCTTCGTCTCCTCAGAATCAGGGTCTTCTTCGATCTGCCACGGAACGAAAGGTGCGCGTACATATGTCTACAGGTGAGGATTGGGTCAAGGTCGAGACAACCAGCCTCGGGCAGGTCACTCTGTTGCCTCCGGAATATACGGTTCGGGTATCCCTGGTCGACAAACCACAAAAGCACACAACCTTCCCAAACGTTTGGTCAGAACATAGCGCACCACTGGACATTTTGGATGGATCAGTATCCACATCTGATCTTGTTTTGGGGCCAGAATATTCTCAGCGACCAGAACTCGGTGCGGGACAACACCAGAGGAGAGGAGCACACAAGTCAAACTGACAAACCGGCAATCGAGAGGCCGGCCTTGAAAATGATTCTCAACCGAACAACTGTTCCAGAGAGGGGCTAATCCTCCCTGTCACAAGGCTGCTCCCTGTTTCTCGGGAATGACTTCGAGAAAGTCATCAACTGGATTATCACGATATTCGACGACGACCCTCGAGTATGTTTGAAGGCGTGCGACATGTGCCACATGAGCAACGTTGATCGTGAGGTGGCGATGGGAAGCGAACACGAACCCTTTGTGAACGAACCAACCTGATCTGAGCGCTTTTGATCTGTTGTTGCGACTGTGGGTGATGACCACGCATGCATGCCTGACCGGATGACGGAGTATCGGAGGAGTCGGAACCGCATGCATATTTTTGGAGTACCGCTGCTTGCTCGCTTGTGTTGAACCACGGAGCGCTTGGCATGTCTACAATCGAACTCGCAGAGAATACCGAACGATCTACGCAATTGAGAGCTAATTGCCAGGTGACAACGTAGATTAGCCCTTCCCTGGAACGCAACTCCTCCCCCAAGAGCCCAATTCTACCACTATCGCGAGGGTGAAAAAAATAAACGGGGGCAAAGACGGCAAGAGAAATCGCCACCTTCTTGTTGAGCTCGTGCACGATGGGGTGTCGCGGGTTGATCTCCATGCTGCGGTGCCCCCCGAGTAAACCCATCTGCTTGCTGTCGGCCAGGGTCTGCGCCTTCATGATGCGCTCCATGTTGGCGCTGTACCCGTACGCGGCCGACACGATGATGGCGGGGGTTCCCTCCACGCGCTGGCTGACGGACACCTGAGATGAAGTTGGCCAATCAGAGCCCGACATGACATTCCGGCAGCGGACATGGGCGAGACGGAGAAAATGGCATCAGAATCGAGGAGCACTTTCCACGAGAAGTCAACAGAGGTGTACATGACTTGGCATCATCACCGAGGAACGCTATTTAGACGAGAAGCCCACAGAGGTATGCACGTCTTGGCGCATCAGAACTGAGGGGCACTAGACGACAAGTGCATATCAGAGGCGAAATATATAGCTCGAAGGTGCCTGCGTGTATCTCGGTGGTTTCGGTACCTACGCATCTTGAATAGCGTCGCACGCGAAACCGACAAAACTCTTACGGTAGAAGCTTTCCGATGCCCACGTGCATTGCAGAGGTCTCCGTTGTTTACTGAGTAACGATTGCCTTCCAGGACGGCACTCGACTCTGTCGGCTTGCTAACCTTTCAGGCTGCACGCTACTTGGCAGAGCGCGAACTATTTTTTTGCAGGCGCAGGTATGCTAGCGTTCTGACACCTACGTTCGCTCGACGGATCTCATCCACGTTTACCCTGACATGCGTCTACTACAGCGTCCATCGTGTCAGCAAACGTCTTGCAGTGTATCCCGCAAAAACGCCGTTCTGCAGCCAACAGGCTAGGCTGGTGGTATCTTACAAGGTGACCGCAACATAGGGGTGCGGGTAAGGCAAGGGTCCAAGCACCCGCATTGTGCGGCGTTCCAGTTCCCGTCTTCGCCATTCAGTGTGTCCCGAAAAACGCAGTTTTTTTTTTCAGCCAACGGGCTGGCGGAATCTTACAAGGCGACCGCTAGGGATGCGACGGGTACGGTAAGGAAGGAAGGGGTCCAAGACACACACCTTGCTGATCTTGCCCTTGAACATGTCCTTGAGGTGTTCGGCGAGGGGGGTGAACATCTTCTTGTAGTATTTTTCTCTCTTCTTCACGTCGGCCACATCCTCGTCCCCGAAGCTAAGCCCTTCCTTCGTCACGGACTGCATCCTGCGACAACAGCACAAGGAAAGCACGAAGCTGGGCTTAGAACGCGGGGATATTTGAGACCGCGCCATCAATGACCCAGGAGTTTCGGGCTTCAGGCTCGAAGAAACCGAACCTTGAACAACTTGATCTGCACGCATAAGAAAAGGTTTTCCGATAAGAATCACACACCTAAGTCTTTCACTGTGTAGGTGCTCGCTTAATACAGTCGTGCATCGCGTAAGGACACCAAACTGAAATGAAACTCCCTCGATGAAGGACATTTTTTTTTTTACAGACATGGTGACTCGCAGAACGTATGTACAACATAAGAAGGGGTATCGACCTTAAGGATAACTCCCCGGGTTAAGGACACTTTTTTCAGCAAAAAAAACAGTTGTGTCCATACCCGAGGTTCGACTGTAACGCTACATACTTATGCTGTAGTAGCGTTGGGATGCCTACCCCACCGCAAAGGATGAGAGACGAGCGTCGGGAAATACGTGAAAGCTCTTATCCTACATTGGCGCGTTCAGTAGGCTTGGAGGGAGGGCAGGGATCAGCACATATGAACGCTCAAGTGTCAATCAACAACGACTGCACCGTAGTACGTCGCTACGTATGTATGATGCATAGAGAGAGCACGCCAACGTTCTCGTGGCTTACTTCTTGTCTTCGAAGTCAGTGATGGAACCCATCGTCATCTCGTCGATAGGCTCCGTGAGGTAGAGGACCTCGAGCCCCTTCTTGTTCAGCTTCTCCAGGAAGGGGGACTTCTCCACAGCCTGGCAAGGTAAAGAACCAAAAAAAGAAGAATCTGTGTTGAGGAAAGGACGCGCGCGGACTCCGGCGGAAGATTTTGTGAGACGCCTGTCAACATGTTTCTTGCGTTCCGTCCGAGCAGTCATGACATATTTTGTCTCCAGACAAAACAAAAAAAGTCGCCGACAGCAGCGACAGGACTGGCTCCATGTACAAATGGCAAGCTCAGATTGGAACACTTCGAGACATTGGCAACGCCCTCTCCCGCCCCCCACTCAAACAACCAAGGCTTGCAAGACATGTGCACGCCCCTCCCCGCCCCCCGCCCCCAACAACACAGCAACAAAGATACCGCCATCATCAAACCCCGTAACCAGCAACACCTCTGCCCCGCGCGCAACATCTCCGAAGGAACAACGAACGCCTTCTTACCTCCGTGGACTCCCCCGCGATGTAGAAGATGGAGGACTGCCATTCCGGCATGCCGGCCACGTAGTCCTCCAAGCTGACCCACTTGCCGTCGGACTTGTTGGTCTTGAACCTCAGCAGCTTCACGAGCTTGCTCTTGTTGGCGTTGTCCTCCATCACGCCGAGCTTGATGCTCTTGCCGAACTCGTCCCAGAACTGGATGTAAGGGTGCTCCTCCTGGTGGACAAAGGAAGTCATCGACGATAAGCGCAACGGCGGGATTCGAATGACGATAAACGTCGATAGAGGAAAGTTGTCACGACAGAGTTAAGCACAACGGCAGGTTCGAATGATGGTACGCTCCTTTTTCATCCGCACTGGCCGCAAGGGTGTTCAAGGGTGTTGCGCGTCAAGTTGCTAAAAGGAAGTCATCGACGAAATAGTTATGCACGACGGCAGGTTTCCAATGATGATGAGAGTACCGACAAAAGGGTATAGCACAACGGCGTTTCCAATTACGACATTCATACAGAGCCAGAGAGAGAGAGACAAACAGATCGTGTGGAACGCGCAGTTCTATGGGTTGCGTCGATAATTCCGTGCAGCGTCGAGGTGCTGCTTTGCAAGTGGACGTCCATGCCAACGAACGGTACTTCTATTTTGCGTGACTGCTGTTGACTGACCTCTCCCTCCTCGTCTTCGACTTCCTCCGTTGCCAGCTTGCGGAGCATCTCCAGAGTCTTCCGAACAAGCTTCTTCGCCATCACCTTCAACACCTGGAACAAAATAGTTGCGCACGCACCACAAAGCACACGCATCGTTTTCAGCAGAACGTCGCCGGAGACATTGCAGCACGTGGACAGCACTTTGAACGTCTCGTGTATGCGTAGCAACCACAGCACAACGACAGCAGTTAGAAAGCTTCCCGCATGCATAGCAACCACGACCACCTCCAGTGCGTGCCCCGCACACAACACACAAATGCGCGAAAGCCGAAGACCTCCTGCGTGTGTGTAGGCAGCCCCGTGAGCGTGACCATGAAACCGAAATATCTTCACCAGCTCTGCGGTCGGCAGTAGTCTACGCAGTTTGTTCTAAGTGAGCAAACATTATACAGTCCGCTAAGTTGGGGCTAAGGCTAGGGTCTGCGTACGCCCTCCCTCCTCTTTTTTCGTAAAAAACTTACGTTCTTTGCGCCGCGGGTCGTATACCCCAACCGTTGCAGTGTACATAACGGTTCACACCTCCCACGATATCTTCTAAATTTCTTACCATGAAAAATCTGGATCCATTGCGACGAGACCATGATGATATGGTCCTACTTTTCCTCATACACGCGACCATCTGTGTATTTTTCTTACAGAAACGTAACAAACCCATGTCTAAAAAAAATCCATAGAGCTAAGAAAGAGCCCCAAGACAATTTCGTCAGTGCTCCCAACAACAACACCAATAAAAAATCGGAGTAAACTTGGAAGACTTCTCAGGACGGGGGCAGCATGAAAACATAAAACGACGCTCTTCTTGACGGCGAGAGCGACCGACCTTGTGCTCCTGAAGCATCTCGCGGCTGACGTTGAGGGGCAGGTCGTCCGAGTCCACCACTCCGCGGATGAAGGAAAGGTACCGGGGCAACAGCTCGTCGAACTCGTCGGTGATTAGCACCTTGCGAACGTACAGCTTAAGCCCGCCGCGGGAGTCGTCTGCGTTGCGTCGGAGAGCGCGTTGGGAAGTGGTCATACCGGGGGGCTAGATAACGCAACCCGGACGACGGTAAAGCTGTGGCCATGGTCACTGGAACCATTGCCATAAGGCACGCGCTACCTCTGCCGTGCCAGTCCTAGTCCCGTCCCATGCCACCCCAAATACTAAACCACGATGAAGCTACCGTCTCCTGCCGTCCGAGTCCCAGCCCCGTCCCGTCCCGTCCCAACAGAAACCACGGCGAAGGCACCGTTCTCCTGCCATACCAGTCGCAGTCTCGTCCCATACCACAGAAATCCATGACAATCACACCGTCCCCGTGCCATGCGAGTCCTAGTCCCGTTCCATGTCATCCCATCCCAACATTAAACCCATGACCAAGTTACAGCAGGTATGGTCCCGTCCCATCCCATCCCAGAAGAAAACCACAACCAACGGCATCGTCCTCCTGCCATGCAGCTGACCCAGCCACGCCACTCCACTCACCGTAGTAGTGGTCGTACATGTTGTGCGGCGCCTTGCTAGGCGCGAAGAGGATGGACTTGAACTCCACTTCTCCCTCGGCCTTGAAGTGGATCCACGTCGCCGCGTCCGAAGTATCTCCGGAGAGGGCCTGCCGTGGGCAGCGTCTCACTGATTAATTTTCCTGCTGTTGATCTCCATCTCCACAGATGAGTCTGGGTTAGATTAGCAATGAACTCACATGCATAGCGTTAGCGACACACTACCTGGTTTCTACGATTCCCCGTGCAGCACACCGTAGGTTGCAAAAGATACATCACACCCCCTGGACCGATTTTCAAAGCTTGATTACTCGGCAGGGAAAGCTGTGATGGTGTCGAAAGTGTCGGGGTTGGAACCGTCCCGCCGTCGAGAGCTTTCCGAACACGTATCGTTTGCCTTCGGCATCCTTTTCGTCGTGGAGAAACTGAGCTTTGAAGATCGGTCCAGGGTGTGTGATATCTTACTACGGTACAGCGATAGTTATCTCCCCCGTGGGTAACAGGCTCTACAAGACTGTTCTGATTCGGGCCAATAAACGCGTGTGTTCTTGATTGTGCCGAGTGGGTGCATGCCCAAACGGAAAAACGTTGTGATCTATATAGGGGGCAGCACCGATCGTCTGACCTCAACACAAAAAAAACTTAGTGCACAGCAGTAGTAGGATTTTCTGCAACACGATAATTCACGCACCTTGTAGAAGTTGTGGTACTCCTCGTCGGTGATCTCGTCCTTGTCACGCGCCCACACGGCCACGTTGGCGTTAACCCTCTCCCAGTCCAACGTCTTGACGGTCTTGTACTTCACGTCCACTTCCACCTCTTCGAACTCATCTTCCTGCGGGTGTGTAGTGTAGTAATGGTATTTGGTTGTTGCGGTTCTTGTTGCGGTTCGCGTTCGGAACGAGCGTTTCGGCATCGCTGCAGAGGCAGAACAACAAATTGACTCAAGCGAATTCACAAAAAAAAAAAAACACACCACAACAGAAAACCGAGGCTGTTGGAACGTTTGTGTTGTTGTGGCCTGGTATACAAGGCTATCCCACGTTGTCTAGTCTAGACCTTTCAACTTTCATTTGCCATTCTTACAAGATGCATACTGTATACGTAACTTCGCAGCTGCCGGTGTATCCTGTTGCCCGAGTTACTTTCACTTGGGTTTTCTGCACGTACCATATTAAACTTACAAGGCGATGACCTTGTTGTTTTCAAGCAACACTCCATGCAGCACGTTTATTCGAACACGTAGACGCGCGCACGCACACCATGGCTTCTCCCAATCATGAAAAAAATACATGAAAAAAATAGTCTATCTGTGCTATTCCTCCAAGAGGTGAAGGGATGGTGGATGCCCAAGGCGATAACCCACTTTCACCTCCTCTTGAATCACGTCCCTCTTTCTCACAAACGACAGCAACAGTTCCGCACCTCGACGGTATATGTTACTATAATAGTATCGAAGTGTTCTCTTGGGTGTTCGACGTGCTTCGGGCCCTCGGTATCGGCGTGTCACGGCCATGGTAATTCTCTCCTCAATGCGGCGATAACCGCGTCAGAAAAGGAATTCAAATGAAGATACTTCGTCATCGGGGTCAACCACACCAAACACCACCAGTGCAGGAACAAAAACAAGGGTCCTGTCCCGTGCCGAAATATACTATACTTCACAGATTGTCACATGTAACATGGGCTACAGCACCTCAGGAGGGCTAGTGGGTAGGGGGGCTCAGGGAAATGAACACTTCTATGTGACAACGGATTGGAGGAAACGGCACGAGTGCTGTGAGCACTGATTTGAAGTGAAGACAAGAAAAAAAAACGCATACAGGTCCTCTACAGCCGAAGTAAATGCTAACGTACGAAGCAATTTGTCACGTAGTATAACATGGGTTCACTGGATACTTGGGGAAAGCCGTCGAATGCTTCGCGGGTTTGTTTTCAGATGGACCATGATCCGCCAAATAGCATTTATTTTTCTTCATCACTTGATACTATTAGCGCTCCCACACCGCATTTCTGCCGGGTAGGAGGTCAAATCGTACCCTACTCCAATCCCGTACCATATAGCCGTGGCTGCGATACAAGAGGGTTGTGTGACAAAGGCACTCGACCTTCGTATATCGGAGGCCTTCATAATGCCGGATAAAGAGAGTACTCAACTACAAGTATACTATGGAGGGTCGAATCCGTGACAACGGATTTCGACCCTCTTACCATATATCGGAGCCACGACTGTATTTGAATACGGGGCGGAATGTTCAATGGTTTGTGTCCTCGGTATCGGCGTGTCACGGCCATGGTAATTCTCTCCTCAATGCGGTGATTACCGCGTCAGAAAAGGAATTCAATTGAAGTTCTTCATCGGAGACAAACGTGGTTGCAACACAAAGTACGCGCAAAACACTCGAGAGCCTCTTTAGCTTTACCCGAGTTTCGTCTCTTAACTTGGTTCTTCTGCGGGGGCATTTTAACCCCCGACACGACCAAATAGGTTTGCATTAGGGGTTCTTGACTGAGCACGTGATCTCACGGTCCAACGTCTTTTTGAGGCCGACAAAGTGCGTACCACCTCCGGAGAGAGGGCCCTTCAGAACGCTTTTTTCGGCCTCACACAGGCAAGCACGGTGCCGTAGCCTTGGCACAAAAAAAGTGCTAGGTACCACAAGACATACAAGAAGCTATCGCACGTAAGCCAAATAGGCATAGTCTAGATTCTATACCTCGTCACCATCTTCGTCTCCCGAGTCTATCGCCAGGCCAGCACCCACATGGTCGATTCGCGCGCACCACAGCAGCGGAGGCGATTTCCGCCATCCAGCAACGGCGGGAGGAAGGCGAACAGCGCAAGAGGCCAAAAAAGCGCGTTAGAGAAGGTTTGTAGTAAGCCAAGGAGCCTCACAGACACGCCTCACTGAACACAGAGACACGATTAGAAAAACAATCACACTACAACTCCGGTTGAGGAAGCAGCAATGGGAAGGACCTCGATGTTCCTTCTCTGCAACATGTTTGGACGACTTTTTGTACGTGTTCTTCTTGCCTTTCGCCACACGACGGCAACCAGCAGGTCCACCAACAACCGGTTCGAATCCTCATATCACCCCTTAGCCCCAACGCGATCATCCACCCCAAAAACAGCGCAATACACGCACGAGACATGGGGAAAGAATGCTCGGAAACGAGAGAGAGGGAAAGAAAAAAACAAAAAAATCTTCACCCCACCCCAAAAAAAACAGCGCAATACGCGCACGAGACATGGGAAAGAATGTTCGGAAATGAGAGAGAGGGAAAGGAACCATAAAAAACTTCTTCACCCCAAAGAAAATTGATCGTATGGTGCCCTCTTTTGCCCTAGCTCTCGTTCTCACCCTCGTCACCGTCGTCCTCCTCCTCTTCCTCGTCGTCTTCTACCTCAATCTCCTCTTCCTTCTCCACCAGCTGGTAGATGGGGAAGGTGATGAACTCGGAGTAGCGGTGGATGAGGTTCTTGAGCGTGGACTCCGACAGGAACTCACCAGCATCCTCCTTAAGGTGAAGAACGATCTCCGTTCCTCGGCCTGGGGACGCGGAAAAAATGAATTGCCACACAGGACACAGCAGTTGCATGTTAGAGAAACAAATATAACATCCTCAAATGTTACGCCGCCGTCGTGCTTGACGACACCAAGAAAGATTGACGGAACACTGCCGGTGGTGTCAAGTTTGCTCTCAAGTCGGGGCATGTGGTCATGGCCAGGCTATATGCCCCCGCCGTTGCCATGCAAGGGTAAATTAGACCAAAAACGTGCCCCAGAAAAAAGAACATCCACTTTCAGGAAAATCGTCCATGCGTCTTCCCCAAGCCGAACGGCGAAAACGATAACTCGCTGGTGCTACCAAATAGTGTTTTCCCAGAGGGAAGAGCCGAGCTGAAATTTTCGCCCGCATCGGTACGTAGGTGGCTTTGCTTGCTTGGGCGCCGCCCTACAGCTTAGCGAAGACCATGCGTCGACTCTCACCCAGCGTGTTCCCGCGAGGGTCTTTGGACACGGTGAAGGTGCTGTCAGCCGTGGATTCCCACACGTACTGGTCGTCGTCGTTGCTCTTGGAGATCACCTGATGCGCGTTTCACGCCCATAGATATTAAAGGGAGAACGTAGACAAAAGAAACCAGAGAAGGAGGTCACGCCCGGGCAGTAGCACTTAACGAAGAGTTCAAAAGGCAGTTTCTTTGACCGTGCGGACAACTTACGCACGCCGAACAAAAAAAACAGAAAATGTGACGATCGCAATGCACTTGTGAGAGCTCCACAGACAATTTTGTTGCTGTTCCGACGACGAGCCTCGTCGGAATATGTTTAGACTTGTCTATTTGTCTGCCGAATACTTGATCAACCATCAGCTGGATCGTCAACGGCTCGACATACATTGGGACTAAAGACGTGGTTCCGCACAAGCAAAACGCGTTCGGAAGTGAAGTTTGATGGGCGTGAGAAAAAACAAAACATGGAAGCCATTCTGGAAAAAACGCCAACCGTCGGAAAATCCACAGCCAAATAATAGCAACCCTGCAGATCAACAGCAGCACCAAACAACCCCCCAAAAAAACAAAACACACCATTATAGCACTCAATCCAGCAATAGCCTAGTATCCCCCATGAAGCCCCCTCCTCACCGGATTCGAGATCATGGCCCATGAGTACAAGCGGTTCCCCTTTTCAGCCGTCGCACTCAGACACGAGCGGTCCGCCGGCTAGCACGGTCGACGCAAGTGAAGTACAAACACAAAGCATACACAACCTCACGGGGTCCGAGGTCATGCCCCCTACTAGAAGCGGTTCCCTTTTTCAGCCGTCGTACTCTGACTGGCGTCTGGACGATGCCAATAACAACAAATCGACGCCATTACCAACAACAAAAGACACACACACGCGTACCTGCACTTTGTCCGCCACGAGGTAGACCGAGTAGAACCCGACGCCGAACTGTCCGATCAGCCCGAGATCTCCGGTCTCTGTCAAGGCCTCCACGAAGTTGGTCGTGCCCGAACGGGCCACGGTTCCAAGGTTCGAGATGAGGTCCGCCTTCGTCATGCCCACCCCGGCATCTCTGATCGTCAGGGTACGCGCGTCCTGCCGATTTTTTTTTGTTATGTATGTCGTCGTGTTAAATTCCGCCGCACGTGAACGCGGCGTGCCCCCGAAAGTATCGTGCAGCGCGTGGCGGTCGGAGGCGAGTGAGCCCAACAAGGTACAGCAGTCGTCCTCACTTTAAGAACATTCGTCCCCGGTTAAAGAACATTCGTCCCCGGTTAAAGAACATTCGTCCCCGGTTTAAGAACATTCGTCCCCGGTTTAAGAACATTCGTCCCCGGTTTAAGAACATTCGTCCCCGGTTTAACAACATTCGTCCCCGGTGAAAGAACATTCGTCCCCGGTTAAAGAACAGTCACCCCCGCTCTTTTATGGACACCAAAAATACGGACGCTATACTCCCGGCCATCAGGACACCTTACAGTATGAGGAGCATCACGCCCCACAGAATGCGATACGGTCAAGTGATCACACCACTCACAAAGCTTGGGGTTGGTTCTAAACACGTTTTTCTTTAGTTCTGACGGCCTTCCTCCCGTGCGATCTCGGCTGGTGCGTCCAGCAAATGAATCGAAATGGATGAAGATCAACGTCCAGCACAAATGGGACACACAAAGGACTGCTTTTCTTCTTGTCGCACGCGTGAGGAGCGGTACGGCACTGCCGGTTGTCTTCTGCTCAGTACCTTCAACAACCCGTAGCCCTGGTCAAACTCATGCGGACGACGCCTTACGTTGCCACAGGCTAACCAACCCCCGCCCAACCCCAAAAGAGCACCTACTGCGAAAAGCAACAAAAGCGCAACGACCCCGGCTAACCAACACAAACCCCACCTCCCCTTGTACTATTTCCCCCGCTGGACATCCAACAATATACAATAGTTCACCTTGTCGGCAGAGATGCGGATTTCGAGGTCCTTAGCGGTGCCGAGCTTGTCCGGGTCTGACACCGACAGGAACCTGATCTTGTCGAGGGCATCCGACGCGTTGCTGATGAGCTCGCGCAGGAAGATGTCCTTGTTTTTGTAGAGCGAGTTGATGATGATGTCCATCAGGCGGTTCACCTGTTGAAAAACGGTTGCACGTGGCACATATTTGCCGTTTTCGTGGTTGGTTTGAGGGGAGTTGGGAGGTGGAAAAAAACCCGTCAATTATACGGCACGTGTCGCGGGGCAGCAGTCCGTCGCCGAGACCGCGGTAATTGTGGAAACATCGTTCGCTGCCGGTATGCCATTACCGCGAAACCGTGAGAGCAGCGGTAGCCTAGCAGCTGTACCCGGGAAGCGACGCTACCACCAGCACCAGAAAACTTCAACGTTGCAAACGTTGCCATCTTTGTCTCGCATGCTTCTCTGAGTTTCGTAGTCGCCCCATGACATTATACAACGTAGCAGGTCATGTCCGACTCAACTATGGGTGAAAAACTCATGTCCCGCGGCATCAGCTGCAGTTTGTGGCAGCAGCTGCTGCTGCTGCTGTACAACACCCAACACCATAACCAGCTAGTGGTCGCAAGATGCACATGACGTGATGCTGTCATGCGTGGGTGCATGTAGAAGTCAAACCACATCTACATGTGAACCACACAACCCCCTGATCCTCCCGATGAAATTGGACCTTCAAGCCGGCGACCCTGAACGGATGGTACACACAGGTAGCTTGAGAAAGGCTTGCCAAGCAGGCAAGCTTGAGACACGACGTATCGCCATGATGTCGTTTCTTCGCGGGGAGCAACGGAGCAGAAACATCAATCGTGTGTGACTCCGGCGGAATCTTGCGCGTCGTGACCTTCGGTTACTGCCCCAGCCGGCACGGAGATACCCGTGACAAGGTACCGTATGCGGCACAAGAAAAAAACCCTAGCGACTTTCAACATCTTGACTCCCAAAAAACGTCGCCGGGAGTGATGTGGTATCTACAACAATGCCGCCCCATTACTTGATCTGACAGATATATTGAGGGCTCATGTTGACCCGTAAAAACACTACCACCGTGTGGTATTGTAGTGTGTGTGCTTCGGGGGGTGGTATCCTGTGTGACGTGTACTGGTATGCTGTGAGAGTCACATGCGTCAACCAAGTATGCTGTAGCCTGGCTGTGACGCGTGGCGTACCTCGGCCTGGAACTCGAAAGCCTCCGCTCCGTCCTTCAGCTGCTCCTCGAACGCGGCGTCCATCGTGGACGCCGGTGCGACAGCCTCTTCAGCCCTAGCCAGCCCCGAGCTGGCGGAACCGCCCCCTAGACAGGTCAAGGAACCAACCCGATAAGATAAAAATAAATCAGCGAGTGCTTCCTTTTGGTATTTGCTTTCTTTGATTTGACAAGGAGTGGACATCAAACTGCTGTTTGTTGGCCATGGGATGAAGTAGAGTGCGGATATCCACAAACCCGTCGAAAAACATCATGGGTGGACGCGTGTGTATCGTCAAACATATGTAGGGGGTGTCTCGGAGCTTGTGACAAGTTCAGGCCTGCGGGTGCCCGTCGTGTGCACGATCGAGACTCGCGCGGGACACAGCCTCCCACTGCGATACCATCGGAGCTTCATGCTATTAATAACACATCAACCACCGTTCTATTTGAGCAGGGCAGAGAAAATCACAACGGTAAGTCGGCGTCATGGGTATTCAGTGGGACGACAAAGTATCAACAGCCCCCCGGTTGATATTAATATTTATATTTAACATCCCCGGAAACAATATCCAAACACGGTAAGAAGGGATCGTCCGGTGCGCGGGTAGCTACCGTACTTGTAAGTTGCATAAGATATCACACCTCCTGGACCGATTTTCAAAGCTCGATTACTCCACGACCAAGAGGATGCCGAAGGCAAAAGATACGTGTTCGGAAAGCTCTCGACAGCGGGACGGTTCTAACTCCGCCATTTTCGGCACCGCCGCTCCTTCTGTTGTGGAGTAATCGAGCTTTGAAAATCGGCCCAGGGGGTGTGGTGTCTGATGTGCAACCAACCTACGGTGCACTAACCGCTGAACGAACTTTCAACACGTCCATCGCTGGTAGACTGAAGTCCGCCCTTCTTTGGGGTATCTACAAGACGGAGGACCAGCGTATGGAGTATGGAGGGGTAAAGCAGCATCCCGACTTTCCACAAACACTCTTTGACGCAGCGACGGAGCGACCGCTAGCGCACGAGAGTCACCACAGCAGTAGCAGCGGGTTGGTGGGGCGGGGGTCTACACAAAGACGGTGAGATGGGTACGAGGCGGTGCGATTTTCGTCTTCTCTTTTTTCGCCAAGCAAAAATCCAGCTACAATCTGGCGGCTGTTCAAAGAGAGGAAGGGTGCCTACCATCGCCTTCCACACGGCCACCCAACTGGCCAACCTCCACCCCCCCACTTCGAACGCCAACTCCTTCTACGGTATGCCTAACAAGGTACACTCCAATTTTGTTCTCTGTGTGGGACTCCCAAGGCAACCATCGTCATCTTTGATGCGGTGGAACTCTGGACCAGCAGCAGCATCTTCTGCACAGAAGAAGTTGCGCTGCAAGCCTCTCGTGATGCCCGGTGCCGTCCTGCCTCAACACCGCCGCCTCCAGGGCTACAACGCGTGTACGGGCGACGGTCTATCATGGCGTGCCTGCACGCAGCGCAGCTGATGTGCGCCGTATCCCCCGCTGTCGTGCGTCCAGGAGAGCTCGAAATTTTCGTGGCTGCGTCCTTGTCCGGTCGTTTGGATCTAGAACCGCCCGAGCCTAAAATGCTCTCCCACACACACAGAGACAGGGCCAGGGCAAATGCACAGCACTACCACCACCCTTGGTTTGGCGAGCAGTTTCTACGCGCATGGTCGATGTCACAGGGGCGAGGGGAGTGGATTCTGCGAGGGCCCAAGACACCACACGACACTCAGAGAAAGAGGTGCTACCGGTTTTCGGATGTTTGCACGAGGCAAGAGTGTGCGGTGTGCGCGTGAAAAGAGACGTCTCACAGAAGAAGCGGTTGGCACTCACATGGGGTAGAGGACTGGAGCGCGGCGGCAGCGCACAGGGCTACAAATCGTGGTCTTCTCATGGTAGCTGTGGATACGTCAGATACGTGGTGTTTGTGTGCGGCGGGAGGGCTGCTGCAGCGGTGCACCGAAATTTATGGGTTTCGACTCGTCCGGATGTTCTGGTGGGGAGGGGCCTCTGGGTCGCCTTATCTTTATGTAAGTCGATATTGCGCTAATGTCCCCGCATACTTGGCCGTTCCGGATTGGTCGAGAGGACAGGGATCGAAAAACAGGCTCACAGCGTCGGTTTTTGCTCACAGCCAACAGCACACATACGCCTACACGGGTTTATGTGTCTGTATTGTATCACATGTCCAACTAACTACCAACCCCTCCCGGGCTGCTGTTGTTTGTGGCACGGTATAATTGTCTTGTTGCAATAGTGTAGAATAATGTCCCGGCCCTCTCGTGGAACTACACTGCTGTAACCATTAGATAATTGTTCAGGAAGGCTCCCAAGCCGTACGTCTCCACGATAAAGCACGAGCTACTTACTGAGCTATCGGATAAAGAATTAAAGCGGTCCGGCGGCTGCGCTTGAATGTTACGCCTTTTTTCTGACGAAGTAATGCATACTTTTTTCAATATCGAGCCAAATCGAGCATCGGAATTTTGATGAGGAGATGGGGTTTTGCGCGGTCTGGCACCATTGCTACAGCAGTAATCACAAACCAAAGGCGCATTGAACTTTCTCACAGCTATTATATTCCCAAAGCTCTTCGGCACGCGTGCACCAAATATATTGCAATCAATAAATAGACTAGACTAATACTACATACTCTGCGTTGTGCATCAGTAGCAACGCAATCCATTCTGGTCCATGTCAATCAAGGCTACAATTTCGAAGAAAACCCATCACAGGCACTCGTGTACAGCCCCGCCCTCTCTGGTGCTAATCGCTTCAAAATCTGCACCAAGAAAACATTATGGTTGGACGCATCAGCAGCAGCAGCACGGACAGCAACGTCGTCCTGGTCGATCGCCAGAAACGGTTCTGCCCGTACGATATGTCGCTCGAGAGCCGTGTCGAAAGGTACAGGCCGTCCCGTCACCATGTCCCTGACGTCAACGATGTGGGCACCGCTGCCGCTGCCGTCAGGACGCCAGTGCCCGATGTTGTCGTCGAACATGACCGGCCACACCTTCCACGGAACGAGAGAGGTAGTTGGCCGACGTGGCATGCGGGGACTGTTGTCAAGCGCCACATTGTCACCTGGAACGAACCGTCGTCCTTTCCTTGCCGCGCGTAATCGAGGTACAACATAATGGGATAGGAAGCAAAATTTGGAACGTTTAAAACGCCCCACTAGGTCAAGCACCACAGTAACCGGCCACAGGAGAAGCCAGGCGGCACGGAAACGAAACAAATACGCCACAATCACCGGAGCAAGCTCTGGAATGCCACAAAGAGGACAGGTGCCTACATCCAGGCAGCTTCGGACAACGGCACTTTACCTTCGGACTGTCGGACAGGTCGACCGGAAGAACCTTCCCCGCCTCGGCGGACTCCAGGTTCTTCCGCCAGAACGGGTAGAAGTCTCGCAGGGCCAGGCACCGCCCGTGATTGTTTCTCTCACCACTCCCGGCGATCCCATTGGTCGACTCGCCGCAGCTAGGCGGGGGAGCGGCGGCGGTGGTGGTGGCGGCGGCGGGCTTTGGTGCCACGGAGCCTGCCGGTGGGAGCGGGGCGCTCACAACCCGTTCGCAGATGGCGTCGTGGGCGTCCGCGACTGACCGGTAGACGGGATGGCCCTTACTCTCGATCGACCTGGTTCGGCGACACGGAAGGCAGACACAGCACGAGGTGCGGTGGAGGAGGTCACGATACATTCGAAGCGCGCTCGTGAGACCACCACCAGAAAACGGATGGCCAAAAAAAAAAGAAACACGACACGGCGGTGGGAAAAGGCAAGCGGTGCGTGCACATGTTACCTTTTTGAGGGTGAGGTTGGTGGTCACGCCGTGAGAGGAACCATCAGTACGAGGTGCTAACCCAGAGGTAAAGTTCTTGGTTACCTCAAAGCGATCTGTCTCTAAAACAGCAGCCAGCGTTGAGGCCCTTCAGGGGGGCCAGGGAGCGGCGCCGCATGCATCTAGTGAACAGCTGGGTAGAGCAGAAGAAGCCTCACACACCTGAGCTGGTGTCGGTCCTGAGGATTGTCAAGAGTGCCCATGACGAGGGCTAGCCCTTCCTCATCTCGGAAGAAGGCTCCGACCGTGTTGTGGCCATGGCTGCCTTCGGCCTGGTCCGTTAAGTGAACGCGGTAGTCTCCGCGCCCGTCACTGCGGGTATCAGGTGGGCGGCACCGCGGCATGCGATCGAAAGACAAAAACGCCTCTATGGGGTGAAACCGACGGGTAGTCACGAGGCCATGGAAGGCGGGAGGTGTGCTGCGGTTCTGCGATATACTGGCGAAACGGCGATGGATGGCGCGACACGTTGATCTACTCTCCGATGAAGGCGTGGTGACTGCTTGCCAATCCGGAGCAAGCCGATATAGAGATCTGGCCTCAGCCAGCACAGCACCCCCCACGGTCAACAACCAAAATACTCTCGGCGGCCGGCCGTCCGACAACGCGGGGTCTGGCGCGCATCCCACTAACCGCACCCAGCAAACAGAGATGACTGATCCATAATCGAAGGCTTCGGGAGAATCTCAACTTGTCTTTTCATAAAATTCATCTTGTAAGTAGTATACATCTTCACACTAGAAACTAAATATCGCACCTTCAGACCACGCACTGCAAAAAAGAACAATTCGAACTAGTTCCAAAAATGTCCTCAAAGAACATGATCCCCAGGCACTAGTGAGCTCCGGCGGGTAAACGGAGGAGAAAATTCGTGAAGTGTACTCCGTGGTCACCTGCCGTCCATTTTTGCCCCAGGGAACAGGGGATGCTCCCCCTCGCAGAACGCGTTGTACTCTCTGGAGACCTCCGCAATGTCGTCACCGAAGGTTCGGAACACCACGCCGAAGTCCGCGTTTGCCTCCTTGAGGGCTAGAAGGCACCGGAAAAATGACGGGAGAATGTAGAGACTGCGAGGCCCGGTCACCAAAGACATGGAGGGGGTTACGGGCTTATGGGAAGGGGCTCGGTGCTTTGGGGTAGCGGTTGGGCAATTATGGGAGGGGATTGAGGACTTGTGGTGTCGATGCTTGGGTTGAAACGTTCAGAGCGGGGGCATGAGTCAGCTAGTCGTGGAAAAGCGGGATGTGGATCATGAAAAAGCGGGATGTGGATCATGATCAGTCGATTTCTTGCGCTTGCCCGACGAGAGCCTGCGACCACCCTGGCCGTGCGGGTGTACCGCAATATGTGTCCGCTTTGCCACTCTTTCCTAATAACACGTGGGGTATTGTGTAGCTTCTCTTTCATCACAAAAGGGAAATGCATGCAGCCTTACGCCTACGTGAAAACGAAATTGAAACGCCTCGAGCCAGGCTATCGCTACAACGTCAAGTCGGCACAGTTGTTCACTCCTGACTAGTCCTACAAACAGCACGAACCAACAGCTAGCAGGAAGTGACGAAAGAGGACGAGCTGTTACCTCTCTCTCCCCGCCAATCCCGCCCCCTTCGCAAGTGGACTCTTCGCCACGGCCTCCGGTAGCGCCAGCGCCTTCTCGAGCTTCAGATACTCCGCCCGTAGGCCAACGCCAGGCTGACCATCCTCTGTAAAACACCCCTTGGAAACAAGACGTCATGCATGACGCGGAAAATGGGAAGGCAGGAAGGGCGCGAAAGAACAAAAGAGGAGTGTTTTTTTATCGCTTGCTCTTCTGGACTGTGCTGCCAGGAGAGCTTGAGAGGTGGCAACCTCGGTAGTATCTACGCTGGACTAGTGCGAAATTTCCTCCAAGAACTTGTCTGCACGACTGTATACTCGCCATCGATAAGTGCTGATCTACGTTCAAAGCCAACGGTGTAACAAGTGTAAGTGTGTGGGGGGTGATGCAAACCAAAATACCCCCAAGATCATCGCTATTGGCCGATCTTGCGGGAAGCACGGCAAGGACAATTTAGGGGAAATTCTTTTTGAGAAGGGCAGGTCAAGTTCGGTCACACATCAACATCTTCCCTTAACCACAGAACGGCGACGTGGCGTTGGAAACCCTAAAGCATGTGTTCGCTTGACCATGTTGACGCATCTCACCCGCAAACCCATTGTGCTCATGATCGCCCCGTTCGCCCAACAGCAGGTAGCACCACAACCTGTGCACACAGGCTCCATACGCTCAGCAAGCCCCCAGCGCCTACCTTCCTCTCGTCCCTGATATCCTTCATCCGCCGATTGTCCTTTCCCTCCGCGTCTCCGAACTCTTGGTGCAAAAAGTCCGAGTACGACACGAGAGCTACTGGGGCGGTCTCCTGGTGGTTCTGTGGCTGAAGGCCACGCGGCCCAGATGGCGTTCTCCTCAGACTAGGCTCTGTGGAGGGGGGGGCCTTGCGGATAGGGGAGGAGAAACTCTAACACGCGATATATTGGTTGCGGCGAGAAATAAGATAGGTATGTTGTTGGGTTGCGGCTCATGTTAGTTAGAACACGGGCACCTACACCTGGGCTGGCGAGATGTCATGGAAGTGTTCAGGGTTTGTTTCGTCAACAAAACAAATTCGACTATATCGAGCGTTGAAAGGACGAATAGAGCGAGGGGAGGAGAGGGGAGGGGGGCACCGTAGCTGCAGAGGGGGGCTACACCAACGTGCACACAGGCGTGAGAGATGGATAGTGTCGAATGGATCGAAGATGGCCTTCAAAGGGAGGAGGGTTTACAAACAACGGAGGCGAAGACGGAGCACGCTATTGTGTGGACTGAAACAATGTCTGACCCCGGTACCGTGCGTTAATAGCGCCAGCGGAGACGTCGGGTATCCAAGGGACCACTAATTCCAGATGATAGGATGCTGTGAGACGCATGGAGCTTGTCACATCCATGGCATCATTCAGCCCAAAAACTGGTTTGCAGCAGGTACAGTTGTGCGTTCGACGAACCATTCTCGCACTGCCACCCTCTTTTCGTCCAACACTTTGTGCTCATCAATCCCAGGGACGTCTGCTAAAGCCACCAGCTCGAGTTACCCGCCCCCGTCCTTGTCAGCCATCGTTAGGGCAGAAAACCCGCTCTGATTTGCCCCTTCTGGCGGCCCTTTCCTTCAAGCTCTCATCTCACCCCATTCCATGTCCATACCGACGTTTCCTTTGCGCCGGAATGTTCCACGTGCCCCCAGCATATATCCGCGAGCACGCTGTTGAGGACCTATTCCACACGAATGGTGACAGCAGAGGCCATGCCAGCGTTCGGCATGCCGTGTACGTTTGGCGTCGAAAGCGTTGCAACCGAGGGTATTCGTTGAGCCGCAATCCGAGCCTCTTGGGCGGAACCTTTACGGATAGTTTGTGCGTTTCGTGCCCTCTAACAGCGGGACATACTGCGTGTGCGCATGGCAAACTACGTAGGGGGAAATGGTTCCGCTTTCAATCACGCCGCGAGCGACAATTTACACAGCCAGAGGGCAAGCACCCTAGTAACAAAGGCTATACCCGCCGCACTAAGATCAAGGGGAATTTTGGTACGTCCGGAGCCTTGAAGGCTGCAGAGCGTAGAAAGGAGGTGAAGCGACGGCATACAACGGATTCTTCCGAGAGAGGTGATGGCGCAAGTGCATCAGTTCACCTACGATGTATTTGCACGAATAGGCTGCCGATAACACGAAACGTGCCGGCTTCAACCCAACGGTATACCTAGGTACCGGAAGGAGTCAGGCACTGAGTGTGTCATTCAAAGCGAAAATCTCATCACCTATGCTGCTTTTCAACAATATAATACCCTGTAGAAGATAGCGTTGGAAGATTGCCTATCACCGGTACAGCAGTATCGAGGACTTCTGAAGATCTTCCAATCAATTGATACCTGGGATTGGGTCTTCCGACCGGCTGGGTCAACCATGATCAGAGTCTTGTTCAGGTCGAAGTGCAGAATCAATCGCGTCCCCGTAGTTCGTAGCACCTGCGCTATTTCTTGTCCAAGACGCTTCGCTGCTGCTCCAGCCCCATTTTCCTTCCCCCATTCCTCCGAGGGGCGTGGAGCCGCCAAACACACGCGCCTGCAATCCTGGAGCCTGTAGTTCCTGCCGGAGGGGGGGGTTACCTTTCCCCAGGTAGCGGGGTAGATACCGCGGTGGCATCGCGGTCTTTGGCAGAAGAACGCCGTCGAACTCCTCGTGGCTCGGCCACCGATAGTTCGGCCGCTGGTTCCGAACATGCGTTGCTGGCTGCGGTGTGCGTTCCCTGCGTTGGGTGGAATGTTGTTGGTACATGCAGATGTACGTGTTAGACTTGCTGTACAATAGTACAGAGTAGGCGTATGCCGTGTAGGTTTTGTAGTGGTTGAACAGCGTGGTCCCTGGGAGTTGATTGGGGCATGGCTGATGATGCGTACCTTCTACCCGGGAATCAATCGCAACAACAACCCCATGCGCCATTCCAGCAAGATGCACATTACGCACGCAGGTATGTACAACTGGAAAGTGATCCAAAATCCAATTTGGTGTATGCATATAGTCTACTGTAGGCTCCCTTGCGCTCTTCAGAGAAACGTCAAGTCCCTTGATGACTTTAGCGGGAGCACTGGCATTTCCTACCTGAAGGCGACAAAGGAAGCCCCCAAAAATTAGAAAGAGACATAAAAAAAGCGAGAACACGGAAGCAGCACACCGCCGACACGTTCCAGACTCCCGTACTTTACGCTCCTAAGTTGTTCTGCACAGCTGCCTGCGACGAAACGTGCTTTGCGGCACTGTTATGTTCTCGCCGATGAAGCGAGGGGTCTATTGCCTGCAGCCACTGCACATGTCTTCCCGCAATCATTGGCCTACCAGGCCGGGTTGCATACTTTGATGTAAAGCTGTACCGTAGACTTTGTAGACGAAGGTCTTGCAGCAGTGTGCAGAGGACACACAACAACGACCGTCTATTTACTACTGTAGCAGAGTGACTCACCGGATACAAGCAAACCCAGGAAGACTGCGGTGGTGATCATATGCGCTTACCAATGGCCGCCATGCGCGCCTCTGCCCTATGTTCTCTCTGCGTCAGCACCTGTTCTCTCGCTTCTCTGAGAGCGCTGTGGAGCTGTTGGAGAGTTGAGATCTGAGAGCTGAGAGCTGAATGCCAAGAGCTGCGAGCTGAGAGCTGGGTTGCTGGGCTCTGTGCTGTTATCTGTAGTTCTGTAATGTCGTTCGTGGTTCGGAACTTGGTTCTGGACTGAAAATATGTTGTTGTTCGGAACGGTATGATCGAATAATTCCTCCGCGATGCCGGTGTGAACAGGAACAACGACCGTGCGATCGTACTTCTATCTCTCGCCAATTTCTCTCCATATGGTTGGCGACCGCGGAGAAGGCGAGAGATGAGTCAAAAGACCAGCCGGGGGTGGCTGTGATAGCATGCCTTGAAGAGTCTAGAATACATATGCCTTCAATAGTGGAGCCTCAGGCTCCTGCTCCTTCGAAGTTGTCAACGACCGTGGCGACGGGTGGGGATCCTTCGGCACGAGGAGTCCAACAAGCTGCCCAGACACCCAAGTGCTTCATCGACGCACGCACAGACGACGATAGCGATACGTGCAAGGGTCAGGGAATCCAAGGGACGCCGACAAGGGAGATGTGAGAATCTTATCATACCCTCACTACGTGGAAAATATTCAGATTGGCCGCTGCATGAAGGACGACATGGACATGGTTATTACGTATAGGCTACTGTACACGAGCAGCGTACAGCAGTACGCCCCTTCGGAGTGCCCTTACACCACACGCACCGGCTAAGGTTCAAAACAATACGCTGTTCCTGCCAGCCATATATCAAATCTACGTAGCCGATCCAGTAATATTTTTCATCGTCAACACGCCTGCCTGCGATTGGTTTCGCATGCATGCACACTGTAGCCATGAACAGACTACTGCAGCCGTACGGTCGTACCTGTACGTGTGGGCAAATAGCGTGATCTGTTGTAGAAGCTTCGCTATTAGAAAAAGTGGCTTCCACGCACACCTACAATCACTTCTGCTCCACTGCCTGCGTCGTCTCGTATATTTCTCTGTGCAGAGTGGACGCAGACGATGAAGACCAGAGGGACGCAATAATCTCAATTCTTGAAGATTGGGCCGCTTGGGAACGAAATTTAGAGGAAGGTGCCGACGTCAGCGAGACGAAGAAAGCCGACGAGCAAGCGGTAGTGACGGGGGTGTCAGGTATCTCAGCAGCATCGTTGGTCGACACTCAGAACGACGCGAGAACATCCCGCGTCTCGAAGCCCAACGATGACCCAGCTTCAGCAGCGCATTCTGCTTCAGGGCCATCGAGCAAACGAGGATTGAGGGCGACATTTGAGGCGGGGAATCCAAACCAACTACTGCTGTATGCGTCTAGACGGGAGCGGAGACGCGCTGAAATACATGACCCCATCGCCAGGGCAAGGCGACAGGCGTTGAAGGTGTGGGCCGCTGACCAGACAAGGAGGAGAAGTTCTGCCGAGGAGAGCACGCTCAGCGAGCGCTTGAAGCAGCAGGGGCGTGGTTCTTTCTCGTATGAAAGGGCCACGGTAAGCGTCAGAAGCAGCAGAAGAAGCTCCACAGACGCCACAGTCGACCGAAACCGGAAGGGTGGAGGAGGTCCCTTGAAGAACGAGTGGTTTCGCAGGAGGAAGCCACCCTATCGCGCTTCCGCGCCGCGCGAGATATCGGCCCAGCGCCACGTCCGCAATATCGCCGAGATTCCACCTGGGCCGCAGCGATCCACCCCGACTGTACCTGCCGCGGGGCTATCACCGCAAGAAGCTGGGAGGAAGTCGAGCCCCAGGTATCCATGGAGAGCAAACATGAAAGAGCCCGAAAAACGCCCTAGACGGTCCGCTTTCGACCTTTTGCGGGAAGGAGATGTCTCAATGGCACCATCGACCCCTCGGGTTCCCACTACGGTCTTGTCGTCCCCTTCCTCGTCTTCTTCTTTGGTGGTCGCCGGGCGAGGGTCCGCGTGGGCGAGGTCTCCCAGCCGAGAAACGGCAGGGGGAATCCTCGTCAAGCACTGTTTCTTCTACGGGTCGTCGGACAAGGCTACCCCGCGTCGGGCGGCGGCGGAGGCCGCAACAGCAAGTACGAGCTTCGAATCCCAATGGATGCGCCAGTTTCGCGAGGAGGTGCAGAGGAACCCCAACTGGTGGCTCAGCTCGGATCGTTTCGTCCATGGTAGAGCGTGCGCCTCGCCCGCCGCCGGAAACGTTCCTGGAGGGGCAAAGGGGGCGAGTGGACGATCAGCTAGACCCCCTTTCCCGACGGCCCTGACACACAGGGGGGGCGGTGGCATGGCCTCTCAAACAACAGACTTATGGAACGAAGTGCGATTGCTCCTCGCTGCTGGTAGACAGAACGAGGACAGGCATACCGGAGGTAGCAGGCGTGGACCCGGACATGACCACGAGAAAGGTGACCTTAAAGCCGCTCGATTGGACATCCTGTCGTTCGGCGACCGCCTGCGATACACCCCTTTGTCTCAGGGAGCCTGGCTCGTGGGCGAAGGAGCTACGGCTACCTCTGCTGCTACGACTTCTTCTGCTTCTGCAGAGAAGTCCGCGAGGAATGCGATGCTGTCCGAAGAGGTTCATGTTGCTCTTGCTACAAGAGACATGGTTGATGTTGCTGCCGCCGGGACAGATGTCGAGGAAAGGCAGGACAGCAAGGCGGGACGGTCAGATGCACTCAGTAGAGTTCCAAGTCAGTCGGCAGCTGACGAAATTGTATCCCCAATAGGAAACGTGAGGGCGGAGGCGGGACACGACGACAGGAGCAGAGCGGTGAGAGGAACAAGCGGCTGCCATGACCTGCAGAGCATTCATGCCGCGACCCTCGCCAAACTCCGGGGTGAAATCGACCCCTTTACTCGCGAGGAGCTCGTGCTGCGCGCAGCCGAAGAGGCAAGAGGCGCTCTTGCCAGGGACAGGGCACGCAACACGTCTCCCAGGCGTGCCTCCGCAGGAGTCTTCCGTCCTTCGCCCAAGGCACGAAAGCGAGATTCTACCCCAGACGCCATTGACTACGATACCGTAGAGGCCACCCTATCGTTGATCGAGCTTGCCACTCGCGCCGCGGGACCGGACGCTGGAAAGCAGATGCTGCAGGCTCTCGAGGATCTGGACAAGATTCACCAGCGAGTGTCGGACGAGAAGGGCCCCACCGAAAACGAACGCTGGATCCTGGACGGCAAGGCCGACGGAGAGACACTTCTGGGGGCGGAGAGTGGGTTGAATGCTAAGGTTGGCGATGCCGGAGGATCAGACGCTACGCGTCCTAGGGCTCCAGGTGATTCAACTGCTAAAAAAGAGGGTGTGCCCGTTGGGGGAGAAAATTCAAGGACAAACAAAGCGAGTGGGGGTCTCAGCGGAGGCGACCAGGGGGCCCACGCGGGAGGTGCCGTGCGAGCGGAAACGGAAGTGAACGTTTTGAACAGCAACGGCCATAACCCGGGCAGGAAACCTGACGCAGGAGATGTTCAAAGCAACACCGACGGCGAATCGTTGCTTGCTGGGACAAAGGAAAGCGCAACGCTGGCGGCTACCTCGCCCGAGCCCGGTCGAAAATTCTCTCTGGCTGTGAGTTCCTCTTCCGAAGAATCAACGGGCTCGCGGGCATCCTCTGTTGGAATGATGCAGTCGATTGGAAACTGGCTGTGGTCAAACACACCTCCCTCCCGCTCCCGTCAAAACAGCCAGTCTTCCGATGCGGAAGACGCGAACGGCGACGACACCAAGGGGCAGGAGGACGGTAGGGCCGAGTTTCCTTCTTCCTTCGAGGGCTCGGACACGGACGCAAGTGATCTCCTCGGGAAGATCCCCGGCGAGAAGGTGGATTCGAGCGATAACCACGACGAGACGACGCCGTCGGAACCCATGGCTAGTTGCGGTGGCGCAAGCGTTCGACAAGGCGGTGAAGCAACCGTAATTGTGACGGTACCGGAACCCGCGACCGAACTTTCCGGGGAAAGTGCGTCTAGGCGGGATAGCCGGGAACCGCCACCCGAGCGAAGCGTTGGAGTCGTCAACGACAGGCAGGGCGACGAAACGGAAATGCCCAACGGCGTGCAGCATGAAGCAGAAGAAGATGATGAGGTCGAGGGGTCGGGAGTGGACGAGCGGGAAGCACGAGACGGACAGTCTCAAACCCCAGCCAGACGAAGGGCTAGAAGGAGCAGCGAAGGTGATAAGCCCACCGGCTTACCACACCTCGCGGCAGAGATGGCCCGGGTCGAGGAGTCAGTCTCAGCTAGGGAAAACTACGAAGGAGATCCGGCCAGCAGCGTCCCGCAAGTGTCGCCTGTACCAATCAGCAACGGGGAGTTCAAGGCTGGTACTACCTCCAACAAGGCTGCTGTGGCGGACGAGGAAATTAACGCGGGGGGGGCGTCTCACGGGACTGTAGGCGAGGGAAGGCCGGGAGAGAGACACGGCAGCGAAGGCGAAAAGGCATGCGGGAACTCCCCGCCGACTCGCGTAGCACAACCCAAGACACCCACACCGCCTCAAACGATATCCCAGACTACGCCCGCCGAAGACCCTTGGCGGGATGAGCCTCAGACTACCGAGCCCAGAGCCGAAGGGGAGGGCAGTAAGGACGGGCTGCTTCAGCACCGTGGTTCGACCACGGTCAGCGGATCTGCACAGGTAGAATCAGGAGGTGGTCGAGGTGAAGCACCGGGTGCTAGCGGTAATTCACCGTCGTCGGTTTTGATGCACCGCGATAGCTGGGTATCGGTGGGCACGAGGCCCCGGCGTGGCCGCAACAACGCCGCGCCGGGACAATCGCCACCGTGTGTTGAGGGACGTACGGATGCTCCGCCGACCACAAAAGTCTCCGCTGGACGCGTCGGTTTTGCAACCCAGGCAACAACAAAGGAGGTCGGAGCCGGGAGTGATGCCATCGCCAACAAGAAGGATACAAATAGCGGCAGGTACGGGGCAGGGCATGATTGATTTAGTTTCCCTTTTGAAACTCACAGGCATTCTAGGCTACTACTGTAGTTCGGCCCGAGATACCTTGGGTGATTTCAACTACTGTAGACCACTCCCAAGCATACGTATTCGAGCGTTTCGTATCGCCGCGCTCCCACATGAAGCCTGGTTTCTAGTCTCCTCCGTAGGCGTCGGCCATTTCGGCTTCGCGTATGTCTCATAGAACGCCATCCTTTGCACCAGCTCAAAGCGAGCAAGCTTCAAGGGGATGTTTGCTGCCGTTTGGACATGGGGCCACGAATTAAGGCAAATCTGTTATTTATCACCGTCCAAGCCGTGACGCATGCACCCTCCGACGTACAGAAATCGAGTTTCAAACACGTAGCAGAGCAGCCCACGCCCGCCTCACTCGAACACGTTCCGTATGCACGTGCGCCGAAGACGGGTGTCTCCAAAGGTCAAGGTAGAATTCGTCTGGCCAAGACCCGGGAGCGTGTGTGCCCCGAAACGCTTGCGTCCGCCTGAAGAGAGCAAACGCGGCACGTCACCTACCCCCTTCCGTGAGTTCGTTGAACGTAATTGATCATCCCGCGTGCGTACCAAGTCGTTTCGTTGGACGGTTGGCGGAGAGGCTTTTCCTTCACGTTCCCATCAATGGTATGCCCGTACCCACCGTCAACGGATAGATTCAGCCTACATCATAGTTCTCTTTCCGAAATCTTTCCGTGCAGCTGCTTTGTTCAAGGCGAGTTCTTCAGCCAGCTTCCCCTCGACTTCGCCTTTTCAAGACTCGATTTGGTCGCTAATAATGACTTGTCCCCGCTACTCTAGAACACTGTAGTCCCTCCTGGATTATCTCGAAAGCTTGTCGAACATGACGCCTAATATCTGCGTTTGTGTTTTCTATGGGACATATTTCCAGCATGGTGGACCGGAATGTGCTCCGTGCGGTTGGCCGCCTTCACCCTGTTTACTCCTAAACTAAACCAACAGCCAAAGTCTACAACTGATGGTGTCAAGCCAACACCGATACTTGACGACAACCTTGATTGACCTCAGCCTCATCCTTCCCTCTGAACCTCTTGCACCGCACAGTAAGAGCGCCCGGCATCGTGCGGCGGTCTCCGCTGATCGATGCCCTGCACCCTGAAGTGGCGAGGCAACGGGAGTTCCAGGGGAAGCGACGGCATGCACGCCAACGAGATGCCGCTGTTCCGGCTTCGGAGAAAACCATTCACCCTGCCGATGTTGAAGCCGGGACCACTGCCAGCGCCATCGCAGCTGCCGGACCTGGCGCAAGCACCACAGGCGCGGAGAGAAGGGCCGCGGGCGCACGCGCCTCTCCCATCGGCGCCCCAAATGCTGCTGCACGCGCTGCAACTGGCAACGCAAAGTCCACGAAGAAGCCCCGAGATGCTACCACGGCCGCCGTCGTCGCCGGCAACTCAACCGACACCGCGGGAGCTTCACGGTCACGCCGCCGTCGCCCCCGATCTCTCTGGGCCGAAACGGCCCACGAACCGGCTGCCCCGTTGCCGGTGTCCTCGTTCCGAACGCCTCCCTCGCCGGCAGGGGAAACCTCACGGTTGACACTGGTTCCGGCCGCCTCTGGAGCTGCTTTCAGCGAGGGAGCGAGCATACCCCGTAACGTCGACAGCCCCACCGATGACGCCTCCAGAGCGGGAAGGCTAACACCAAAGCAGGTCGGTTTGTTTTCATCTTGTAACGTCTTGCAGTTAAAACACTGCTGTCTACGGTTGCGTCTACTGGCATGAAGCGTTGGTAGTACCCTATGTCAAGCCTGAAACAACGGTTGGTTGCGCAGCTGTAGGGCACGGCTCTCACGCAGCGACAAGTAGTGCAAGCACCACCTTGTCAACCCCCCCGAGTGGTGCATGCGGGACACGGCTTCTTGTTCGGACCCCTTCCCCTAACGCGACACACCGCTCTCACAACGTACATGACACGCTCGAAAAGTCGGAGCGCGTGGAGGAATGGTTGGCTCGGGCGGAGCGCTCCTTGGGGCCCAAGGTGTGGACCTGCCTCGGGTCAGGCAGGGCTTTCCGCCGCACTTGTGGCCGCATTATCCGGTCTATCATCGTTCGAGGCGGCGGTACCGGCCACACGGAAGACCGTCGAGATCTTACGGAAAACCGTGAGCGTCCGCCAGGTGGGTCGGTCAAGCCGGCTCCGGGAGGACCCGGGAGGTCAAGAATGATGGCGAGGGAAGGGAGGAAAGAGGCGCCGCACAAGCAGGCGCGGAAAGGTCGAGCGATAGACAGGGACAGGGAAGAGGAAAATGACGGTGGGCGTGAAGGAGGAGGGGCGAGGGTGGACGACCGTAGTTGGGACGAAGACTTGTCAGAGAGGACGGCACTTGTTACCGAGGCCGTGATCTGGACGATCGCCACGGAGAGGGAGCGAAAAACTGCTTGCGCGGCCATTGCCGAAGCTCGAAACGACAACGAGAACGGCAACGATGCCCGAGAACGATGGGATGAGGAAGGCAAACGAACAGATCGACACCCGACCGCTTGGGGTAAGGGAGGAGGAAGCCCTGGCCGACACACGATGGACATCGTGCACGATTCCTCAGCGGCGACCTCGGCGGCGACAACAGAGCTCCGAATCTCGCTGTCAACAGCACGAAGATTCATCAAGAGATCTCGCCTTACGGACGGGGTCCATGTCATAGACGCGGACGTAGACCTAGCCTTCAAGCGGTGGGAAGAAGTCGAACGCTTGGCCGGACTTGATCAACAGTGCTCGCCTACCGCCGCCGTAGCGTGTGGGGAAGAGGATAAGTCTGGGCGCGTCGTCAGTCGCGAGGTTGGGTCTGGGCTCGCCGATGCTGTTGCTGTGCCCATTCCGCAGAAGGTGTGCGAAGCGGTCGGCTGTTCGGACCCAGCTCGGTACGGAGACATCGGCCCTAAGGCAAAGGCAAGGCTGTGTCGGAAACACAGGCACAACGGAATGGTGGACGTGGGCAGCCGAAGGTGAGAGACAATCTTACTGGTGTTGCTTCTCACACCGGTACTCAGTGATGTTGCGGTCGATCTACAGTAGTACGCAGCAAAGCGTAAAAAACTCTTATTGGTTCGGCGGCGGCGGCGGCGACGGTTTTACTTTTAGGGTTGGGAAGCGAGTCGACATAGGGCACCGACTGGAGGAACAAAGCAACAGCACCCTTTGTTGGGGCGTACCGAAAGCAACCCGCACTCCGACGGCCTCTAGAACGACAAGTAGGAATATCGGCTCCGAGCAGACAAGTGCGACTCACGTTACGTCTAGCGGCTTGGTTCCAGAGAATATCACAATGTTACGGATCAGAGGAAGCGCGTTCTCTCGGGCATTTTTTGACGAAGACTGCCATGAACAAAGACCTGGAATGCACCCTTTCTCTGACAACTCCGGGTCGTCTTTTGTCATGCGTAGACGAAAGTCGAACCTATGGTAAATCGTTGTTGCACGCTACAACGTTGCCTTTCACGTCCCGCATCTACTTCGCCAAGAATACTTCATGGTCGATGTCGCATTCTGTGGTACCTCTCGAAAAAAAAACAGATGCGATCGACCAGACTGTGGGCGGCTGGCGGTCGGTGCCCACACGACGGCGAAGGCTACCTCGTTGTGTACTCTTCACGCGCGATCGGACCGAGTGGATGTGGAAGGAATGGCGTTTGTGCTCCTCATGCTGTCCAAGGCACGCCACACCCGCCGCAGGTACGTTGCATGGATAGGTGTTCTTGGTTCTACGGGCGGGGTGCGTGACACAAACTTCACTACGAGTTGTTGTGACGTAGGACGGGGCAAAGAAGTGCTTTTTTTGAGGAAACGTCTGGTTGGCGGTTTTCTTGCATCCATGTTTATGCCTTAATGCTGGCAATTAGAAAAAGATACCAAATCATTGATTCTCCTGCTGCGTCCAAAGGCTATCCACGCCGAAATCACGTCGTCGACAGAGTCATTGCCAACAACATCGACAATACGCCATTCCAGAGTAGTTCAACTTATCATCGACAGCGACCACGGACGCCTTCGGCAGCGATAGCCGTCTCTTTCGCCATCGCTCGCCCGAGAAAATGCGAGCGCCAGGTGGCCCTTGACCCTATGACCGTGACCACGTTGCTGTCCTCTCTATTGACCCCGTCCCATTCCAACAGGGGTAAAGCAGCGAAGACCGCCAGCGCTGCCGTCGGTGGGGAGAATCAGGCACAATCGGCTCGCAACGAAGAACTGGCTGCAGCAGCGAACTTGGCGGCCCTAAACGCTTCGGCTGTCCGAAACGTCCTCCTGGCCATGACCGAACAACCTCTCGCACCATGCTCGCCCACCGTGGGCCGAGAGCTTCTGCCCGCGGCCGTACGGCAGAGCTCCGAAGCTTTTGGCCCTGGCACCAACACTGGTGGGCTTGTTGCCCCCGACGAGCTTCTCAATCGCCGTATCGCCACGCCAACGGATTCGGTCAGCAAGCGTGCTTTGCCTCGATCGGCGGCAGTAGCATCCGGGCTGGACGCAAGAAGAAAATCGCAGCACCAGCGCGGTAGTCGCGGGGCGAACAGCAGCAGCTCCGGCGCTGGTGGTGAGAGGGGGGACTGGGGGTCGATACTAACGCCCGACGGCTTTCGAGCGACTGTACCGACGCGCAGACCCTCCGCCGCAGCGGCAGAAGCAGCAGAAGCAACAGCTTCAGAAGCAGCAGCAGCAGCGTCTAGTCCGTCGGTTGCTCCCCTGTCCCCCTCGATAGGCTCTGGAGAACAACGCGAGGAAAAGGATGTGGTGGAGCCGGTTTCCAGAGGGCGAAAGCAGTCGCACGCACCGACAAGCGAAGAGGGCACGGGAGGTGGAGGCGACCCCTGTGGGCGGAAGAGGAGCGGGGAGGGGCCACGGTCGTCGGGGCATCACGCGACCGGGGCGTCGGACGAAGTGGCTGCGGGGGATGGACACCAAGACGAAACGGAACTTCCTCTTGACTACCGAGCAGCACAGCGCCCTGACTTGGGTAGCGCCGGTTCTCCAGGTGGAAGCGGGATTGACCATCGAGGTGGTGATGAGGATCAACACCAGGTGGAATGGGTGCAGCAAAGCCGCGGCAGTGCTGGCCACGGGGAAATGCCCGGGGAGTTGGCGCAGACGCTGGACGTAGCAGTTGATTTTGGGGGCCGGGGCGGAGGAGGAAGGCGGAGCGGTGTCCACGAGGTATGGACAGTGGTGTCGAATCTAGAAATATTGCTTTGGAGAAGAGTTCTCTCGATCACTTGTATGTGACTCTACGCAGTGGGACAAAGCACAGGCGCAGGCAATAGATACTACCCAACCGAATGGAGGAGGGAAAATGAGCGAAAGGCGCGGCAGGACTGTATGTACGTTTTGCGATTAGCAGGACTGGATGCATGAAAGCGAAAAGGAGAGGTATCAGGCTCATATGAAATACGCGTGGAAGTTGGCGAGGGGAGGGAAAACGAACCCCGGGTTTCTAGTACACACCCGGTGTAACTTCTCTGTGAAGTGAAATGGAAACAAGAACCCATGTGCACAGGCGCATTCGCCGCGCCATGTTCCGGCGTGTCTGGGAAAGGAACAAACCAACAGCCTGCCCTAGGCGTTGGGTATGAACGGCACGAAAACGGGCTACTAACAACACTGTCGCTTGGCCTTCTATTTTTCATTCGGCAGGTGTTGGAGAAAAACGCCCCGTCCTTGCATGCTATGTACAGCAAGTTTGCTCGCCAATCAACAGGCTGCGAGCGGTGAGCACGATAGTCTTCCAGGCGTTTGGCAATGCTAGAGGTCTGTAGAGGTAGGTTCAGAGAGCATCGCAGATCATCTCTTTGGCAAGGCGAGGACATGGCGGTGAAAACCCTGTTTTTAACGGAGTGTTGTGTGTGTTTGGGCGGTGTCAGCTCCTGGCCAAGATTATTATTACCAGCGTACCGGAAACACTGGGCACATTTATCAGTCAGTCAGTCAGGCTACGATACCTTGCGCCGTTCCACCAGGTATAGGCCGGCTTTCATGTTAGAGTTGTGCGAACCGTTCCTCCGTACAGATAGTCGCTGAAGACAGAGACTCGTGAGTTTCCCTTCTGAAATAAGCCTAGCCAAAGAAGAGCTGTCACTATCAGAGTGGTTGAGCCACGAAATCAAACGGATGGTGTCGTCCTTCACTCTCCCTAAAGTGAGTAGTCGATACCTGGCAATGTTTTGGATCGAAAGTAGGATTGGGCAACACGCAAATGACTGAAGCGCGGTACATGGCATGCCCAACCAGAAAAGCTTCATTGTTTTCGTCGGCGTGGCTTTTACCTGCGCATCCATGCGACCAGGGGTACTGTGACGACGATGACTCTCTGCGATGTTATTCGGTTCTGCGACTCTTTCGAGCTACGGCCGGGATTGGTGTCAACGAGGGAGATCCTAGACGCCTACAAAACGGTACGTGCTGTCATGTCCTCCTGCTTCATGCTTCCCCGACCTAGACTTTGGTACCATTGCTCAGCATTGGTGCATGCTCACCTAGGAGCAGGTTTGGCATCCAGCCGTGATATCTTGAAGCCTACCCAGTTTTCTCCCGGTTCCTGCAGTCGTTCAACCCCCAAGACCAACTTGTGGAAGGCTCATATTTTTGCATGGGCTCTTCTTTTGCTTGAGGTACACTACTACCCTGGACGACAGCGGCCGTGGAGGTTCGCGATAGAACGTGCTGTCAGCCGTGTTCTCGGGCACCATCAACATGGCACGAGGAGGGTTACCGTTGCTCGCGACGCACCCGAACCTTGGACTTGATTCACTCTCTCCGTTAACAACACCGTGCGTGTCTGACTTGATCCCCATTCTTCCGCTTCATGCGCACCATGCTATTGGCTTGGCTCACAGATCGCGTTTCCGGGGGTGTTGGGGCTCAGTGACGAAGATATTGGCTACTCTAACGTTGGCGGAGTTTCTAATGCCTCGGACACAAAGAAACCCCGCAAGGGCAGGAAGGATCGCCGGTTGAGCGCATCTTGTCGTGCGTCTGCCTCCCCTGAAGATGCAACTCGGCAACGTAAACCCTCATCCGCGAGCACCTTCGGTCACGCCGACCAAGCCGGTATCCCCGCCAGTGGCGACAGCAAGGGGGTCAAGGAGAGGGTTACCGCGGAAGACACGGAGACCCTCGATGCCGAACTACAGAGTGGGTCGGCACCGACGGAAGAGGGGAAGTTGCGGGCTCTGACGCTTCAAGACTTGGCTACCGGGAGACCGGACGCGACAAGTCGAGAAGCAGAACATGTCGCGGCAAGGCGGGGGAGTGACAAAGCAGCCAACGCGGCACAGGAGGGACGAGGCACCAGGGGGGCGGGTAGGAGGAGAAGCACTATTTACGGGGAAAGAAGCAACAGAGGCGCAGGTAGCCGGAGAGGGACGACTCAGCAGGACGACGACGAGTGTAGCTTGTACTTCAGGTCCGACTCAGGGGCCGAGGGCTACCGGATGCCGTCCCCCTCTCGCCGCACGAGCACCAGCAGCAGCGGCGGCGGCGGCGGCGGGGGTGGCGGTGGAAGGGGAAAACGCACGGTATACCTGGGTAGGACCCAGGCGTTTCCACTGAGACGCGTGGAGTCCAACTTGGCCGTCGACGCCAGGGGGTTCGGGCTCAGCGGCGTCTGCCCCGAAAGAGCAATGGCGGGTGAGGGCTTGTGGCCATCCTTGTCATTGCAGTCGGCCTCCTCCTGTGGGTTCCTTTTCATATATAGCCCATAGTCTATACGTCCGTTTGTGATTATCCAAACGCAAGAGAGTGCGCCACCACCAAATCCTCTCCTAGTGCAAACATCCCTGGCTGACTCGTCACTTTTTGTTCGCACTCACACGTACATTTAGCGGTTGCCAGCCTGCCCTGGCACCGGACAGCAAGACCAGTGTATGCGCTTGGCTAGAAAAGTAAGGGTGAGGCCGATCCAAGAGTGATGTGTGCAGTATTCCCTTTATCTACCCTGCTAACTCATCTTCGTCTGGACCATTCGAGCAGGAGACGGCTCCCAGCAACAAGCGAGGGTGCAGAAGCCACCAACGAGCAGTCTAGACGGATTCACCGAGAGGACGAGCGACATGAAGGAAGAAGGAGGAAATATTTTCAGTGGTTCCGCCGGAGGTGCGGACGGGGAACCCTCGGTACCGGAGGCATCGGGGCTAACAGAGGCCCAGTTCTTCCAGTGGGTAAAGTTCGTGGCGGTGGAGTGTAAGGCTCTGGTCACCAAAAAGGCCTTCGGCAATTCCTTGACACGGCCACGTTCTAAGTCGGGAAGAGGGACTTGCAGAGGGAAGGCTGAGTCCGTAGATGCCATGCCTGCCAACGAGAAGGAGAATGGCAGCAGAAGGCAGGGCATAGCGAGTGCGGTGGTACTGCTGCAATGGATGGAAGTGTCTCGAGGGATGAGGGCAGGGAAGGGAGAAGGTATCCCACCTTTCAAGCTTTCTTCATGTTTGGCGAACACCATGCCTCTTCCATCTGGAGAGTAAAGATTACGCCTGGCAGATGGTTATTTTTTCAAGTCCTACGCGTCTTGCTTTCAGCGACGACACCCAACCGGGGGTTGCCAGCGGCTCCATCGTTTTACATAATTGTAACATTTTAGAGGGCTCCGGTATGCTACGGGCCTAATTTGTGCAGAGAAAGGTGTGTATGTGTTATCTGTGTACCTCGTAGTTTGTCGTGCGCTGAGTGAAGTGCTGGTGTTCCAGAGGCAGATGTGCACAGCAGGTTCCCAGTTCAATCCTTTGCACGATTGTTCCGTTTTCGTTCAGAGCAGGTCTGGCCGTGTTAGACGAGTACATGTATCCATGTAGTATGTGTATGGAGCATGTGCATACGTGGAGATCCCGGATGGTAGAGAGAGCAGAGTGGGAGAGATAGAGAGAAATCGAGGGGAGGCGGTGGAGCCCTAGAAGAAATCAACAGTCCCGTCGACGAATGAATATCGTCATGTCGTCGAACGTTTCGTGGCAAAGTACAAATTGCGCCGCTTCTACAGCTACGTAGGCACTGCGTAGTACTGTAGACAGATGCGCTCGCACACGGGGGTGCACCTACGGGCCGACTCTTGCCCTCCAACGCCATAGACACCAGCCGGATTAATCGAAGGTAAATTGGCTCGATCGGAGCGTCAGAAGATGTGAGCGCAACGCGCGGTATGTTGAGATGCGGCGCAATATCAACATGTGTTAATCGTGAACCATTACATGGAAAGACCGATCACATGAGACACGCAGGACCCTAGCTAGCAGCCCCAAATGAGTCAGTAGCACAAACAAATCATCTCCACACCATCTCAGGGAACACCGGACACATGTGTGACCTGGTTCAACCCCACGCCAGGTATCACGTTCCATCCATATTCTTGTGCCCTCCCAGAAAACAGAGTCCATCACCGCTGTCATGTGTGAGCCTGTTACCCACAGACATCATCTGCATCATTGAAGGCAAATCACCTTCCTCGAGAATCAGGGCAGCATAGATAGGTACTCTAACTCTAGGACTCCATCTCGAATGATCCTAGACTATTGACTACGTAGACTATGTAGTCTATTAATAAGACTATATCGTCTGCTTTCGTATGATAAGAGGAAGACAGCAACCCTGTGTTGAAGTCGCGCGTCAATTCCGTGCCTCGTGTTTCAATGCACACGCGCTGCGGGGTTCTCGCGTGTATTTAAGAACGCCACCATCGAGCTAAACCTTCGTCCAAGCACACTGTATCCTCGGCGAGCCCGCAGGATGGTTTGGGGCAGGAGTTACATCACTGTGTGTTTGATGGAGTGTCAGCGCAACCAGAGCATCGACCAGATTCGCTTGACGGCGATAAAATTAACGAAATGTCAATCAAACAGTCTATTGCAAATCAGATATAAGTTACTCTACCTCGCGGATGGTTCAAAGACGATATGATTCACCCGATGTTAACAACAAACCTGACAACGTCTTGTATGGCTTAAACCCCTCCTCCCAACAGCACGGCGTACCCACCCCGTCTGGTTGCCGCAGAGTACCCACTATCGAAGGAGTGGCCCGACCACACCTCTCAACCTCGAGATCAGGCCCCTCAAGCTTACTAGCACCAAGAAGAGAGCTCACGCGAAGAAGACGCACTTGTATGAGCCGTCTCCAGCGACAGCCCATCCCAGGAGAACCGGCATGGATACCTCAAGTGGAGCACGGGGAGGGGGTCGACAAGGAATTCACCGCGGAATGGGTCATGGTGTGGACGGGCAGCAGGGGGCCGCCGACTGCTCCAAAGCTTTCTCCGACGGCAACATGAGTGAGTCGTCTCTTTCGGGAGACGACGGAGTTAGCCTCGACAGACGCGACGAGACCAGCGGCGGCTGGAACAACAATATGTCGTCGTTAAAGTGGACCGGTTCAGGGTCTTCGTCCCATTCGTTCGGTTCGGTGGGTGCCTAAGGCCTTGCTCCACATGCACGTGTCTGCATCAGCTTGAATATGTAGCGGTTTACTGTCTCCTGTCAGCGTTGGGGACCCCGAACAGCTTCGGGGGGTACAAGGGCGCGGTGTTGGGATAAGGCTCGAAACCTGTTGGCGTAGACCTGATATTCATTCTTGCGTGGTATTTGTGCTCGTGTTTCGCCCGGGAAACGTACATTTTTTGGCAGCACGGCACTCACCACAGAGCGATTGGTCGCCACGGCGCTTCGTCGCCTGGTGGGGTGCGTGCTTCGAAAACAAACTCGGGGGCAACCGGGGGGGGCTGCGAAACGACGTTCACTTCAATGTCCACCCGAGCTAAGACGATGTCCACGTCGAAATCCGAAGGCCACATCTCCGACGCGAAAAAGAAGGGCGTCCGGTTGCCCAAAGTGAAAGTTGCTGCCCCGAATCGGGGTAAGGCGGACAGCGTTGCACCTAGACGCCGTAGGAGGCACCGGGACATGCGCTTGCCCCCCCCCGGCGGGCATCGGAACACAGCGTGAGGACAAAATGATTTTAGTTGCTTTTTTCTTTTCATTGGTACATCGAGACTGTTCCGCGAGTTTTGCCTGACATATCTGGTGCGCTCCAAGCGCCAGCACTATACGGGCTACCACAAGGTATGCCGGTTCCCGCCGAACCAAGCGTTCCAGATGGGCTTGGGCGTTGACAAAGATTCGCGACATGCCTAGGGGATATTTCACGAAAGCGCCCCGCGAACCACAACTCCAAAGGTACAAACTCTGCTATGCACGAGCACCGCCTGGGTCTCCCTGCTCTGTTTTAACGTGTTTGTTTCGGCCTCTTCATCCGCACTTGGCCGCACCTGGGCAGCAGCAGGACAAGCGGCGTGACCAAAGAAATGGAGGCTCAGATTGCAGACCTGCGCGCATGTCCCCACGCAAGGCACGCCCTGGAGGCGAGGGTCCGGCAGCACTTCTCGAAGCGGTCGAAGCGATATAACCGATGCGGCGGCGGCGGCGGCGGCGGTCGAAAGCCTTCGGGAGACAGCAGCAGCATCGGCAGCAACGAGTTCGTGGGAAGCGTTGGCGCTTCCACCGCCACAACCGAACCCGTGGGCCAAGGAGTCCCTCATGGTGATGGCAGCAACAGCTGTTGGCAGCAGCACAAGGAGCAGGCCACGGATGCGAAAGCTCACCGTTTGGGTACCAGGGGTTTCGGAACCGGAGGAGGCGGGGGGGCTGCGGGGCAATCGGTGTCGGGAAGAGGAGCCGAACCGGTCAGCGCCAGTGACCGGTCGGCGGCGCAGACGCTGCGTGCCCAGGAAGTCCTACGACGCAAAAGGTGCAAAAGACGAGCGCGCGGAGTACACACGCGACCATTCTGTTGTTCTGTGTACCCGTCTCTGAACTTCGTTGTGTAACGGTTAAACTGAGTTGGCTCACGAAACTTGTTGCAATAAATCATTCTCGCGTGTAATTTCAATGGTTTGGACGAATGAGAGTCGCACGCAAGGACGCTAAAGCAACTCTGGACGGCAGGCTGGCACGGTAGAACGGAGCCGTCCTGGGATGAGTCCGGCTGACGCGCACGAAGGAAGAGACAAACTGACTCTCCTGGAATAAAAATTCTACATCCTCTAGGCCACCCCCGTAGTGTTGGGGCGGAAATTTGGCTAGTCTTGACCCCCTTAGTCGCACTACTGTCAGACAGCGCGTGATAGGTTCGCGACTCGGCCTTTTCAGCGACTCTTCCTCGGGGGGTTGTCGAAGGCGTGCACCGTGGTGGGGATCATGTTGCCCTCCCCCCCTCCCCCCATATGTTAGCCTCTTCGTAGAGAAGACTCAGTAGGATGGCTATTTGTGCAAAGTATTGGGGTACCTACAAGGGTCGAGAGTCGAGAGGCTCGGCCTGGAGTTCAGGCACAAATACGCGGTATAGGTGTGGGGTCCAAAGGAGTGGGTCTGAGTGGATGAAGAGCCAGTGAACGCTCACTGAACGCAAGCGTAAGGACATCACCAAGGCCAAGGTCAATCCCGCCCTTTCCCCTAACAACGACAACGACAACGACAACAACAGCAGAAAAAACCCAACTGAAACGACAAACAACAACCACTTGTTTTTTTGCTCGCTGTATCCAACCTACGAGTCAGAGCCATCGAGGACGAGCGAAACAAACAGGTCAGGGAGCGCTCTGCAGTTCTGCAACACGAAGCCCGACGGGACAAGCGGCTGGAGAAGAAGAGGGCCGAAAAGCTGATCACATACGTTTGCTGCGCTGTTGGGGTGAGCGGTCGTTGTGTTGTCGGAAGGTAGAGCCTGTAATGTTGGGGTAAGGAATTGATGGCAGAACAGTCTGCTAAATCCTCTCGAAATATGGCGCAGTCCCCCATAGTTTGTGTTATTCGCCAATCGCGCCCTTCCAATTTGCGAGATCTCGAGTATACTTTTCATTGGGGGTGAGTGCCCTGGGAAGTATCCTAAGGAGAAGAAACACTGTCCCCGAGACGGCCGTGAATTGGTTGAGTGAAATGTGACGTCAGCGCCGTTGGGTTGTCGGAGACGTCGCCGTAAACCTTGTTGGCAACAAAGCATCACTTGAGACAGAACATGAAACGGTGCTCTAATTGCTATGTGGGCTGCCGTTACCTGACCTTGCCCACCAGTTCGCGGAATGGAAGGTTCGGTTTGACGAGAAGAGAACGGCTAAGCACCAGGCAGAGCGGAAAGATCATTGCGCACGCATTCTACAGGTATCCCCTCCCCTGGCATCCCGGATCGTACCCAAGTTCTCAGCTGAGAAATTCTAACGCAGGGTGGTATATAGAACAGAGCGGGGTTGGGGCCGCAAATATGTGTCGGCGTACCTCCAGTTAGAGCTGAGTAGTGGTCGGTTGTTGTTGGCGGGATATGGTTCGAAGTAGAACGATAGCCTTGATTACAACAGAAAATCGTTTGTATTTCCCTACACAGTGCTTAAACGCGCCGCCGGCTTGGAAAAAACAACAGCCACCTTTCCGTCCCTGAAGGACCTCCCTTCACATTGTTCTGCGTGCATGCTCAGCCTCGTGTTGATCGTGGTAAACGATTCCTGCGGTTGACTGTTTGAGTTTCGGACAAGGAAACAGGGGACACCACCTGAGTCATGGTGCCGTATCCATCGGTCACATGCGAACGCATGGGGGCAGCGTAAGTTCGTTTTGGCTGTCGATGACGGAGACAGTGGTTTCTGAATCGCGCAATACCTCTGCAGCGCACTTCGGCCGTTGGAACTTTGGATGTACTCGACAACATTTTGTCATTTCTCAAACGGCTGAGATGTTTGGAGCTGTGCTCCCTCTACACCTTCCGCCTCCTGGTCATGTACACGTCCATGTCGCCAACCTGTTCCAGCGAGTATGGCGATTCAATCGAATACGACGCACCATAGCCAAGGTTCGAGAGTCCACTCCAGCAGTGCGAATGATCGTGTTCGGCATGCGGCGAAAGGCGGCCGTCGCGAGGAAGACCGTGGCTAGGCGCCACAAGACACAGGCCGCCGATCTCATCCGCTGCGCCTTGAGGGTGGGTGTAGTTCATGCCCGTCCTATCTTGTCGACTACCATGCCGTCTGCGTACTACCTTCGACATTTCTTCTGCTTGAGCTGTCTCCCGCTAGCGTAGGACTATATTTCCCACGGCTCAAGATGGCCTCTTCATGGACACATGCGGAGTATAATTGGGCACGAGAGTGAATTAATCGTGCGCTTCCGTGTTGTCATGTTCAGGAAAAGTAGCTCTAGGCCTGAACGCAGCACGTGTCCATGCAATGTGTACCCATCGGACAGGATAGAAACGCCTTCCGCGGTGACAGGTTCACTCACAATCGAGAAAGTTACTGTATTTCTTTTGTTAATCGCGACAATAGCATTGATATACTGAACAATCCAGACGATGGATGGCATGAACGATCACGGCGCTCGATGGTCGGTTTGTCACATGGCAGGCCGGCACTCGCACACTGTTCCGGACTCGAATCAGCTACTACCGCGACAGGATTATCAAGTGTCAGCGGCTCTTCACCAGCTACCGCGAAGTCACCAAAGCTAGAAAACGGGCGTTGACCAACAAGTGGACAAGGTCGGACGCCTTCTGTGTTGATGCTTTCGGTGCCGCTGTGGATCTAGTGCTGCGTGTTATGTCTTCAAGGTGGTGATATAACTTAAGCTATGCATTCCGATGTCGTGGCCTACGTGCTGTGTTGGAGGTTGAGGGTTTGGTGGATCGCCGCTCTCGAGACAGACTTGAAGCGCTCAGAACACTGCTTGGCTGCAATTACGTACCCTGCCTCATGTGCAATACTGAACGAGATAGAGATATACTTCGAAGTAGATAGATAGATAGAGAGAGAGAGAGAGAGAGAGAGAGAGAGAGAGAGAGAGAGAGAGAGAGAGAGAGAGAGAGAGAGAGAGAGGGAGAGAGAGAGAACTGGTATATGACAAGATTCCGCAGTTTTCTCACGCCCGAGAAATGCGACCTCTAACCACAAGAGCACTCGTGTCCTTGACACTTGCTCTGAACCGTGGTGGTAGCCCCCGAAACGGGTCGACTCCGTTCGCGTGATACGATGATTCTAACGCAACCCTCGATCGGAATCCCTACGGCGGACGTTGTGTTGGCATCGTAACATCCCCCCCGTACCGCAGGCACGTGCACAAGGTAGACGAGAGACGGTTCAGCATGTACTCCGCACACCTCCGAGACATGTACAACTTCGACCCAGTCCAAGTAGAAGGAGTCCTCAAGGAGATGCGACTTCTATCTGCGCAAGGGCAGACCACGGCTCAGGTGATCGTGACCCTCAAGCCCACAACAAAACACCTTTCTTAGCAACGCTGGGGTCTGCACGAAGAATATTTGAGGCAAGGTTACATTAGCGTTTCGGGAAACAAGGTAGCGTTTCGACATGCAAGTCGATGCCGTTATTCCTAGTCGCGTCAAGCAGAGGTCGAAACAACTCAACCCTAACCCCGCGAGGTATGGTACTTCTACAAAGAACAACAAGCTAAGTTACGGGGATGATTTGGTTTGGCACGGAACACTAACGTTGTTGGCACTGTAAGATGCCGCACTTACCCCGAGATGCGGGAAGGAAGCAAGGTTCTTTTGAAACCCCACCAAAACTAATCACGAAAACGCACCATTCTTTTCTGAATCCCTACAAATCATGCCTCCCCCGGGTTGCCAGTAACCCCCTCCATTCTTTGGCAAGGCGTGATAATCAATCCTGGATGTCGCGCGCCCCCCTAGGCCATGAAGACGAAGATCTTCCTGGGGGCCGGCGACGCCGCCGGGAACCACGCGGCTAGAAGGGCTGACGGCGGCAATGCTACCCAGACCACCGACAACGAAAACAACAACAACGACAACAACAACGGCAACGATTCCAGTCGAGAGGAAGGGGTAGGGGGCAACCCTTCGGACGGGGAGAGCGTTAGGCACTCAGGAAAAAATCGAGCGCGAGGAGGAAGAGCACGGTAAAGGGATCAAGACCCCCGTTGGTAGATGCTTTACACCCCTTTCCGCGAGAACTTCAGGGGTCCTCTCAGAGTACCGGCCCTCTTTTTCTTTCGGTGGACCTCGTCTCGTACCGGGATTCAAGGAACACCAATCAGTTGTGCTAGAAGCGGAGAAGGGTAGGAGGGGGTCTCTTTTCTCCCATCGACCGATCTCGCTCTTGCCTTGATATATTGTGGCGGTCGTACGCCGGGTTCGCTGTGTCTATCATTCATTGTCTTCGGATTTGAAAAAATCGGGCGAGGCTTAGGGATAGGAAAAACTTGGGGTCAGGCAACGACCGAATCTCAAGCAAGAGGGCGGTGAGTTTATTGACTGCTCTTCAACATGATGGTACGAGGACGTATTAAGCACCACTCTTTGAGATACGTGTTTGACTACTGGCAGAACCAGTTAAATAGGTAGTTTAATCACTTCGGATGCTACACAAAGAAGGCGTAACAACAATGAAACAATAACAATTGACAACTGCTCGCCTCGCACGCACATGCTTGTTACTTTCTGCAGGACAAAACGAAACGGAGATCCGGCGGCGAACCTCACTTCCATGTCGCGAAACGGTAAAAGGACCGCCAGATCTCGGGTTTTTCTGGTTGGTGCTGAACCTGTAGGATCCCCGAACATTATTCTGGTCTTGCATGGCCCCGAGTTCCCACCACCCCCTCCGCGTCCCCCCCGCGTCATGCCGTGCCAGCCCCTAAGCGCGCCAAGGTCAAGCTAGCTGCTGGGTGGCAGAAGCGAGTGGCGCATGTGCACAGTGATGTCGAAGCGCAGGCTTCTTTGATGTGCAGGCGGGGAGTCAAGCACAAGGAGGTAAAATACCTGCAGAGCACGAGGATCCTCTCATCATTTACCGCGCCTAGAAGGGGCGTCATTGATGAACCCATGATACCACCTTACACGTGTCTAGAGACGAACACGCGTTTCATGGGCAGCTAACTCCACCATGCATCCGTGTCTGAAGCTTTAGCGACTGATAGTGCCAACCGTTGGTGCGTTTTCACTCGTCACCCGTCGAATACACAATCCGCGGGTTTGTGCTTCCAACTGCTACCTCCCGAAGTTGAAGATGTGCGATCGTTGTTGACGACAATACTGTCAATTGGAGTCAACGGAATTTGTGTGGAGGACGGCCTTTTGAGCAATGCGCTGCCAACCAATGCATTCTCCGCCCTTCTGAGACACACCTTGGCGACGTGGCACATTTACGTGATGTTCTGAAAACAGATATCGCGGTCGCTGCGAAACGTGCTGATCAACGACCTCCTGGACTGCGCTAGGCGGGAATACAGAAACTGGTGTTGGAATCACGTTAGGGCGATCCGAGAGAAAGAGAGACAGACAACCGTTGTCGATATGACGGACATCCGCAGGTACGATCGAAACAAAGAAGGGCGCAGCTGGGTGGAAAAGTGGCAAGCTGTCATGAGTTTCATTTGGGAAGAACACGATCGGACAAGGGAGGACACGATGAAGTTGCCGAACAACGATGCTGCAATGTTACGAGGATGGCATCCGACACTACGGCCAAGCGTGTACTGCACCTGGCGAGGACGCCACGTTCAGACGCCCGAAAAACAGGACCACTAATGAATCTATTGTTCCAGCGTGTTACGTATAGCGTCATTCACGTAGTCTTTGTTGATCCACATTTGTTTGATATTTGTACTTTGTTGTTGGTTCACCCAGTTGTGGTTTCTCTTGGAACTTTTGAGGTTTGCACTTGTGCCTGCTGGACGGAGGAATTCTGCCAAGTTTGTTCGAACGCGAGGAATGGGAGGCCAACACCGCAGGAGGAGAACGTTGGTGTACTTGTATACAGGATCACATTCCCTTGGCTCCTTGCTACATGTACACCGTCGGAGAAAACCAAGCCCTCTCTGAGCTGGGCCGCAGGCAACACACACACATCGACATGTGCATTGCAACTTCGCCGACCAATACCGAACGCAAACCAAAATAGGATCCCGGTTTGCCCGGAAACGTGTGGAAAATCTTGAAGCCTTTGACAACTGTTGGCGCCTGTTGTGGATAGTGGGCACTTGAAGGTAGAGAGCAAAATACCACGGATAAGGGAACATGGCGACTTGCGATGAGGTTTTTATCCGTTATCAAGAACATTTCCCTACGCTCTGGCGGAACCGTGGTGAACTTATTTCTTCCCGAGTGGCTTCGAGGGCGTGGTGCGACGTTCACGGGGTCTTCAAACGTTTTACCTGAACCTGGTTTTGTGTTTGCTTGTGACCATGGAGCTTCGAGTCTTGTCGTGAAACGTATGCAGGATAATGTACTGGGCAAAGAGCGGTTTTTCATGTGGTGGCAGCAGCAAAACACACCAGCACACAATACCACAACAGCAATAACAGCAGCAGCAACAACAACAACAACAACAACAACAACAACAACAACAACAACAACAACAACAACAACAACAACAACAACAACAACAACAACAACAACATCAACATGAACCATTCCGACCTTGCGGTATCTCGTGTCACGACTCGAATTGGTATGACTTGTACGCCGCCGCTCCACACGACACATCAGCGCGTTGCGAAACGATTCGCCGTCTAAAGACGGAGAATCACTCGAGGCCAAGATCAACGCTCGCACGACGCAGAACAAGAGCACTCTCCCCTTCAACAGGCAGGAATCCATGCACCTCATGGGAATGGTCAACGACGAACTACTCACCAGGTACTACTTGAAGCCTCCCCGTGGTCTTCCGCCGCTGGATTACGTAGGGCATAGAGTAGTTTTGTACCAGACATCCTGCGAAAGTAGTACCTGTGACCAAAGGGCTTCGTCGTCTTGGTTTTTGGGCCTTTGAATGTTCTACGCGTCGGGAACACTGCTTGAACAACTATCGCATGTGAACACACAAGCTTGAAGGTGAAGACATTCACACACGTTGTCCTGAGATCAGGAAACCGTTCACCCCTTACCCTGAAGGTGCGTAACCCGAAACCGAAGCAGGCACCCCCATTATTGTATCGATTACCTCATTGTGATGACAGCAAGACAGCTCACCGCCTCAGGAAACTTCTCGAAAGCCCCAACAACCTCTCCGAGGTGCTTGGGGCCTATTGTTTCCGGCCGCCATCCGTCAGTGCCATTTTTCACCAATATGTGTCAAGAAAGCCCGTATCATTCGAAAAATTGTTCACCTTCCAACTCCTCTGTGACAGTTGCTGCGACCGACACCGTCAGGCTTGATGCCCTAAAAAAGTGAAAGGTCTTGCCGCCGTGGGTACGGAGACAATGTAGGCACGGAGACGGCTTGGCCTACAGACGATATTATTCGGTTGACCTTTGTGTCCAATCGCTCCGAAAAAGACATGCGCTCCTGGAGAATAGACTGTGCTTCCGACCGCGCCCACAGGACAGAAAATGTTTGGGATACCCACGCATGTACCGTAAGGGTGCGATAGAACGCACGGGTCGGTGATATCGCACCCCCGTGTAAAAAATGTCATGAACGAAATGGTGTAAGAAGCCGATAGCACCGCCGTGCGTTCTATCGCATCTTTAGGCAAATCCTGGACTTGGTACGCTAACATTTTCTACCGATGCTCCCCGTCAACGAATAAGCAACAGGTTCATCATCCTTGCGGAGCGTATCGAAGGCTGCGTTGCCGCCGACGGCAGCAATTGTGGCCTTCTCTCGCCCGAAGAACTCCGTGAAATCTTTGTGGTCAACAGGTGATATGCGTTTCACAAAATATGTCGCGGGGACGCGGAGCGGCGAAATGCTGCCAACGTTCCCCATGGCATTGAGTAGTGGTTACACTACCTCACCCTGGAGTTCCATCCAACCCCGTGTCCCGGTTTGCGTCTGGGGTCCGGCACAAAAAAACGAATACCGTTCGAGGAAACCTTCCGATCTGGGACCCCAATATTCTTGATTTCACAATACTGCAGTCGAGTCCTCCTATCGATAGAACTTTCTTTTGGAATCTGCGAGCGAGGTGCGCTTTTGAAGTTCGCTCAACCATCGTACACACTTGTTCGGTGAAATTCCGCGAACGTCTTTGTCGGCTCTTGCTCAGACCTTGCCAGGGGCACACCCAGAATGATTCATAGTCGACGACCATCAAGTACCCCGGGGAAAAATATGATCTCGATTTTTCTCTCTTTTTTTTTCTCTCCTGCAGGCACCCGAACCAGCCCGAAAACGCCGCGGCCAAGGAAGCCAAAGCTGAGTTGCAAGCTTGGGCAAAATATCGAGGTTTGGCCCTCCCAGTGATTCGACGGTGAGAGCCTGGGGAGAATAAACAATATCAACAGTGCTTCTAAGACTTCAAGCGCTCATGTTTCCGATGACCTATTATTCGCCCACACCGTTTCGCTTGAATCATGGCTTTGGAGTAATATAAATTGGCTGTTGTGGTGTGTGAGATGAACAGGATGCACCGGATGCTTTCACAACAATAGCCGTTACCGCATGCACCCGGAGACTGCACTCTCTCCTCTCTCTGTGAACACCGTCGGGCCGGCGGAAGGCGGTACGTGGCAACTGTCACCGGTAGGGCCCCTTGTACAGCACATACCCAGATACGGAAAATAAACATGCAAGATGCTACGCTATATTGACAGCAGCACTACACAGTGCGCCCCCGTCTCAACAACAACGACGACACTAACACCCACAAGGCAAACAATCTACTATTTAGAGACTCCGCCACCACCATCACCACCACAACCAAACAACAACATCGTTGAACCCCAAATTCCACCAGTGGATCCACAGGCAAAGCAGCTGCTTTTCGCCTGCACCAGAAGGCTTTGCACGAGCTGGAGGAAGAGAAGGCTCGCCAGGTGCGGAGGAGGCAGATAAGACAAAGTGTCGACCTTCTTACCCGTTTTTCGGTCGTTAGGTGGCAACAAATCACCACAACCGTCACCATTGATATCAGCACAGCAACGGTACAGCTGTGCACAGCTCGAGAGGCTTACAGCCC